CTAAAACTAAGGGGATGGATAAAGATATTGCATGATAGACCTAGAGGGTTGTACTGGATGGAGTAATACAGAGAAAGACAAATGCCATATGATTTCACGTACATGTGGAATCTAAAGAACAAAATAAACAAATGGAAACAAACTCATAGATACAGAGAACATTTTGAAGGTCACCAGATGGGAAGAGGCTTGGGGGTGTGTTGGTGAAAAAGGGAAAAGGGATTAAGAAGTATAAATGGGTAGTTGCTAAATAGTCATAGAGATACAAAATATAGGATGAGGAATACGGTCAATAATGTAATAAATATGTATGGGGGTACATAGGTACTAGATTTATTGGGGTGATCACTTTGTGAGTTAGATTCTAATCGCTATGTTGTACACCTGAAATTAATATAATATTGTATCTTAACTATAACAGAAAAATAAAAATTATAAAAAATAAGAAGACCTCAGCAATCTGGTGACTGCCAGAGGGTAGGAGGGTTGGGGATTGGGATAAAAGGGTCAAGGGTTGAAGAAGTGCAAATCAGTAGTTAGAAAATAGTCACAGGGATGTAGAGTACAGCACAGGGAATACACTCAATAGTACTCTAATGGCTATGAGTCGAGCCAGATGGGTGAAAGAGTAATCAGGGGGATCACTGCATAAAATATATAAATGTCTAACCAATGTACTGTATACCTGAAACTAATGAATGAATGAATGAATGAATGAATAAATAAATAGAAAAAAAAGACCACAAATTAATAACCTAGCTTTACACCAGCAGGTACTAGAAAAATAAGAACAAAGCCCAAAGTTAGCAGAAATAAAGATCAGAAATCAGCAGAAAATAAACATCATAACAAAAATAAAAGGAATGATGACTAGAAAAAAGCAATAAAAAAGAGCAATGAAACTTAGAGCTAGTTTTTTGAAAAGATAAACAAAACTGACAAACCTTTAGCTAGAATGAAAAAAGAAATTCAGAATCAAAATGAAAGAAGGGACATTACAACTGATGCCACAGAAATACAAAGAATCATAAGTACCAACAAACTGGACAACTTAGAAAAAATGGATAAATTCCTGGAAATATACAACCTACCAAGACTGAATCATGGAGAAATAGAATATCTGAACACTTTGATGAGTAAGGAGTTTAAATCAGTAATCAAAACCCTCCCAATAAAGAAAAGCCCAGAACCACATGGTTTTCCTGGTGAATTCTACCAAACATTTAAAGAAGAGTTAATGCCAGTATTTCTCAAATTCTTCCGAAAAAACTGAAGACTGAACACTTTCAAAAACATCTTATAAGACCAGTCGTACCCTGATCCCAAAAACAGATAAGGGTACTACAAGAACAGAAAACTATAGGCCAATATCCTTGATGAATATAGATGCAAAAATTCTCAACACATTAGTAGCAAAACAAATTCAACAGCACATTAAAAAGATCACATACTATGATAATGTTTGATTTATCCCTAGGATGCAAAGATAGTTCAATATATGCAAATCAATAAAAGTAATAGACTGCATTAATAGAATGAAAGATAAAATCGTGATATAGAAAAAGCATTTGACAAAATACTCTATCCTTTTATGATAAAAATAAATAACAAATTGGGTATAGAGGAAATATATCTAAACATAATTAGGCTGTATAAAACACGCCTATAGCTAACATACTCAAAGGTAAAAGACTATAAAACCTTTTCCTCTAAGATCAAGAACACAAGTGTACCCACTCTCACCACTCTATTCGACATAGTACTGTAAGTTCTAGCAAAAGCAATCAAGCAAGAACAAGAAATAAAAGGCATCCATATCAGGAAGGAAGAATTAAAATTCCTTTTGTTTGCAAATGATATGATATTATATGTAGAAAATCCTAAAGACTGCACCAAAAAAATTATTTCAAATAATCAACAAATTCAGTAAAGTTGCAGGAAATAAAATCAACATACAGAAATCATTTGCCTTTCTACACACCACCAAAAAAATATCTGGGGGGTGGGGAACCCTACTCATAATAGCATCAAAAACAATAAAATACTTAGGAATAAATTTAATCAAGGAGGTAAAAGACTTGTACAAAAACTACAGAATTTTGAATTTAAAAAATGAAGATCACAAACATACAAAAACAAGAAAAGATATCCCATGTTCATGATCCAGAAGGATTAATATTGTTAAAATGTCCATACTACCCAAAGCCATCTATAGATTTAATGCAATCCCTATAAAAATTCCAACAGCATTTTCCACATAAATATAGAAAAAAAAAAAAAAAAACAACTAAAATTTGTATGGAATCGAAAAAGACTCCTAATAGCCAAAGCAGTCCTGAGAAAGAAGAAAGCTGGAGGCATAATTCTTGATTTCAAACCATACTATAATACTATAATAATCAAAACAGCATGGTACTGGCATAAAAATAAACACGCAGACCAAAGAAACAGAAACAAAAACTCAGAAATAAACCCTTGCACATATAGTCAACAAATGTTTGACCAGGGAGCCACGAATACTCAACGGGATAAGGACAGTCTCTTCAATAAACAGTGTCAGGCAAACTGGATAAATACATGCAGAAGGATGAGATTGGACTCCTATCTTATACCGCTCACAAAAATTAACTCCAAATGGATTGAAGACTGAAACATAAGGCCTGAAATCATAAAACCCCTAGAAGAAAACATGGAAAAAGCTCCTTGATATTGGTCTTGGCAATGATTTTTTTAGGTAAGACAACAAAAATATAAGCAACAAAAGCAAAAATAAACAAATGAGACTACATGAAAATTAAAAGCTTCTATATAGAAAAAGAAATAATAAAATAAAAAAGCAACCTATGAAATGGAAGAAAAGATTTGCAAATCATATATCTGATAAGCGGTTAATATCCAAAATATGTAAGAAAAATAAGTGTGATTAAAAAATCAGAAGAACTGAAAGATATTGTGCCAAAGAAGACATACAGACGGCCAAAAAGTACATGAAAAGGTGTTCAATGTCACTAATCATCAGAGAAATGCAAGTCAAAACCACAATGAGATTCATCTTATACCTGTTAGAATGGCTATCACCAAAAAAGAGATAACGAGTATTGGTAAAGAATGGAGAAAAGGGAACTCTTGTGTACTGTTGGTATGAATGTATAATAGTACAATCATGAAAGAATATGGTACAGAGGTTCCTCAAAAATTTTTAAATAAATTATGATATGATTCAGCAATCTCAATTCTGGTTATATATCTGAAGAAAATAAAGTCAGGATTTCAGAGATATCTTCTTTCCATGTTCACTGCAGCATTACTTACAATAGCCAACATATGGAAACAACCTAAGTGTCTTGTCAGCAATTGAATGGAATATTATTCAGCCAAGAGAAAGAGTAACTCCTACCATTTGGAATACATCGATGGACCTTGAGGGCTTATGCTAATGTGAATAAGTCAGAAAGAGAAAGATAAATATTTATATGTGGAATCTAAAAGAGCTGAACTCAGAAAAAGTAGAATGGTGGTGGTCAGGGGCTGAGGCATGGGAAAATGGGGAGATGATGGTCAAAGAGTACAAATTTCCAGTTATAAGACGAGTAAGTTCTGGGTAGCTAATGTACAGTATAATGATTATACTTTATACTATATTATATAATTGAAAATTATATAATCTTAAATATTCTCACCACAAAAAATAAATGGTAATTATGTGAGGTGATGGAGGGGTTAACTAACACTACCATGGTAATCATGTATCAAATCAACAAACTGTACACCTCAAACTTACACAATGTTACATGTCAATTATATCTCAGTAAAGCTGCCAGGGGGGAAGGGAATCCTTATCATTGGCTGTAAGAAAAATCAAAATCATAGTCACATAATCAAAAATAATAAAGAAGAAAAAAGCAAACCATCTGTCACCCTCACAGATCCGCTAGCTCTTGGTATGAATTTACTTTTTCAAAAGTATTGGTAGAAAGCCAATATTTTAATTAGTTTTGGATTCAATATCAAATTACACATATAATAAACCTATCGGTTTGTGTTTTATTTTGTTTTGATTTCACAGTTATCACTCCAAAAATTTTAATTCAGAGTAGGCAGGTGTCACCACCTCTAGGAAGCCTTCAACAATCACCTTGTCTCAAACTGGAAGAGCTGTCCCTCCTTCCTCCAAGCCTCCCACCTACAAGGTGTAAACACTGCTAACCTCACAATCACCAATACCTTACTGTTCTTCTTGTGTGTCACTCCCCAACAGGCTGTATGATGCCTCAAGTATAGACACCATCTCCTGTTCGATCCTCTATTATTAGGGCTGGCACAGAGAAGTTACTCCGTACTACTATATATGTGTTTAAAATTAAAGCTTTATTCCTCATTTCAAAGTATTTCAGAAATGTCTCTAGTTAAGTTCTTCTAGTTGTTAAGTCCTTCCATTTTGTTCTCACCAAATAGTTTTTGTCTAATCCCTCTAAAACATGAATCAATTTATAGAAAGAGATCTCTTAACCAATCTAAATTAACCAAGTTAATAGCAACAAATACTTGCTATTAAAGCATTCTAAGCTATTACAATGGTGAGCTACTCTCTAGAATGCACACACTCTTACTTCCCCATTTGAGCTGTATGTTCACTAATGATCAACTGGGTCTGTTCACAAAACTGAAATATAAACTACATTTGCAAACAGAAAAAAGTGATTTGGTTGCTAAATTTTTAAATGCTAAGTACCTAAATACTTTAACCACCACCACCTTTATTAATGACAACCTAAAAAAAAAAAAAAAAAAAGAGGTGAGAAAAGTACAGTATTGTAGTCAAATAAGAAATGCCAAATAATTTTTTACCTTCCGATTCTGATCATAAGCAGAATCAATCCCCAAAATGCTATTCACTTCTACATATGGATATTTCTTCTCCAGGACACTGACCACATGTTCAACTTTCACCTTTTCTCCAGTCCTTACTTTGTTATATATCTGAAGAAAGAAAAACTAGGTAACCAACTACACTTTTAAATTCAAGTTCCAGAGTGTTTTTTATAAAAGATTTCTGAACATAGAAAAAAACATGGCTATTTTTCTTAAAAGGTCAAATGAGGTCAAATGGGAATAGCAATTCTCCCTTTTCCATGCATCATTTTAAGAATATGTAGTTTTTAATGTAAGATGACTACATGTTCTTAAAATGACCTAATCCAGTTTATACTCACATTAAGTCCCAAATGCAAAAATGTTAATTTTTTAAAAATCTGAATATTTATAAGTAATCCTTGAAATAAGAACTCACGTCCCTGCTGTTTAGGGGAAACAAGTTGCAAAATATGTATGGCATAATCCTTGTTTTTAAAAAGCAGACATAAAACTACAACAAACTGTTTAATATGTACACGTAAACATCTAGAAGGATACAAGACAACCTTTTAATAGTGGCTACCTTTAAGGAGCAGGATTAGGGAGTGGAGAGACAAAAAAAATTTTTAATTGATATACTTTAATATTATTCTAAAAACAAAACTTTATTTCAAAAATTTCAAAAATTTTACAATATATCTATTCTTACTTTTGCTATTAAACAAGAAAGAAAATAAGGCTCAGATTATCCCTTCCTTCACACAGCTACGGGGGTAGGGGAGGAGACTTCAAAAAGCAGACTTTAAAACACTTATTATCCTCGGCAACTTCTTTTAAACTTATTTCATTCTACATAGACCTACTGCTAACTCCCATCACCATCATTGCTCACAGAGATCACAGCAACAGCTCGACAACTAGTATCCCTGCCACTTTCTCTACCTTCACCAGATCCATCTCCATATATGCATCAGAATGATGTTTTTAATTGCATTTTAACTCTGTGACTGGATACCTGTTCCCCCGCCTAATGGCTTCAATGACCAGGTTCCCCTCTCCACTCTGCTCTTACAGTAATCTCATCAAGTCATACTAACAACATGGAATAACTACCTTTGATTTGCAGCTATTGTTCAAATGACTCGTTTTCCTCCTACATGCAGCTGGGATAACTTCCCACTCCATAAAAATGCCCACTTCTCTGGCGGAGTGAGGTCCTAAGTGCTGCCATAGCCAGCTGTGCTTCCTGTACTAAATCATCTGTGTGGAGGTGTCCCCACTAGACTGTAAGGTCCTTGAGGACAGAAGTAACATTTTATTCTTCTTTATATCCCTCGCAGCTAGTATCAGCTCTGGTAAATGGTGGGTCTTTGGTGAACGTTAGCTGAATAAATAAATGCACATTTTAACTAATAAAAAATGCCTCTGACTAAATCTCTAAGCAATAAAAATAACAAATATAATAAACAGCAGACTGACATTGTGTTTATGGGTAAAATAAAAGTGGTAAAAACCAACTGCTTTGAAGATAATTTTCCAATAACTACCACTAATCTGTAAACAAAAGACCTGTTACTTCTTTTGAATTTATTGAATATGAAGTTTTTTATATTCAAAAATGGAAAAAAAAACCCAAGTAAATGAGGAGAGTTCTTTGTTTGAACTTAAGCAAGTATCTTAAATATATATATAAATTAGGGCATTTCCAAGTTTCCAGTTAATATAGAGAAAATAGACAATAAGAATTTTATGACCTGAATAGTAAACTGAATCCTAACGAAAAGTTCATGATGGTCTTAAAGGGTGAAAAAAGCAAACTTTTTTTAACCAAGTAGAGACTATCTCATTTACCAAACTGCATTAATTAGTGCTTTCAAATATCTGCAGAAGGCAGAAGACTAATATACATTAGTAAGGCTCCTAAAGAAAATTATCTTAGCTGAAATCACAGCAATCTATTATTAACATTGATGAATCAATAAAGTAAAGGCCAACTCTTGAAATATAAAACACAAAGTTTGTGTGAATAATTTCTTACTTTACAAAAATATCAAATCCCCTTACCACATATTCTTTCTTACATTAAGTCAGATTTAAATTTTATCTGTTATTTTAAATGAAAACATACATGTGTCAGAGTTTGGAAGGCATGATAATCATCCAGTTCTTGGGCAACATAATTATATGCTCTCAGAATAGCCACTCCAGCGTCTTGCATCCCATCCACATCTTCAGAATCATTAACCACAAAGATTAAGCCAAGTCTGAGGGAGAGGAAAAAGGGGAAAAAGAAACTTATTTCAAATAATGCAACCAGTTAAAAGGAATAGCATCCTTGTACTCCACACAAATATTGTAGCTAATTAAGGAAAACTAACCTCTACTGAAAAACACAGGTTCACATCCTAGTCTGCTATGATTGGCAAAGGCTTCCATCACTTACAAAATAAAAAAGCAAGTTCCCAAAGGTGGCTTAGACTTTTGACTGTTAAAGGAAACCGTTTCCACACTGTGAAATGAGGCCTTTACTGCCATGACAAATATTGCTATAGTTTTAATATAGGAAGGAGGCAAGAGAACTAAAGTTAAATCAAGCTATATTCAGAGTCTGCAATATGCTGATGCTCCCTAAGGTCAAACCACAAACCACAAGGAAACCTGCAGAACAAAGGAAGATTTCTGCTGGGATTACTAACAAACCACTTACCCACACCATGAAGGGAAAACAGAAAAACAGAGTCTTTAAGTTGTGCCCTACAGAGAATAAACACAATCATTCATTTTCTATGGCTAAAATCCTGGGGCAAGGGGACCTATGGAGTAATGGCTGGGAATTGCCAGAAGGCCTTTCAAGCTATATATTCTTACCTTTCACACTGTATGCCTATACCATCAAAGGAAAATGGGTGTCTTTAAATTATAATTCATAGAAACTAAGAATGATATATAAACTGAATTCCCCAAACACTCAGGTTTTTTCGGTCTTTGCTTCTTCTTGTCTTTGCTCCTTCTGTCTTGGTCTTTTTCTCTGTCCTTCTCTAACAAACTTTCTTTTTAACTCTAATTCCAGCAGGCACTTGAATTCTTTCCTGCACTCAGTCAAGAACCTTTTTCTCTCAGTGCAGGGCCACTCAGGGGAATTTGCCCTGTCCTGAATCAGTTTTACAAAAAAATTTTGTTCTGTTTTTAAATGAAAACTATATATTTTCAGAATGTGAAAATATATAGGGTGGGGGGACTGAGATTTAACACAGGCAGTGAGAATCATAGGTAAATGGAAAGCATAAAAACATTTACTACTGTCCTTCGTCAAAAAGCTACAACCAAGGTTAAGGTTATTAGTTTAAAAATTTAAATAAAGGAATAAAACCATAAAGAGATACCATTACACATTCATTATAGGCTGGCAAAAAAACAAAAACAAAAACAAAAAACCTTGCACTGGCCAGCAGAGGCTATTAGCCTATACTGAAGCAAAGGCAATTCAATGGAGAAAGGATAGCCTTTTTAAACAAAGGATGCTGGAACAATTGGACATTCACATGCAAAATAATGACTCTAGATAGAGACCTTATAACCTTAACAAAAATGAACTCGAAATGGATCACAGACATAAATGCAAAATACAAAACTATAAAATTCCTAAAAAACAGAACAGGATCTTGGGTTTATCAGTGACTTATTAGATCTAATATCAAAAGCATGCTCCATGACAAAAAGAATTGATAAAGTGGACTTCATTTAAATTAAGAACTTCTGTTCTGCAAAAGAAACTGTTAAGTCTGCGGCCATGCCACCCTGAACAAGCCCTATCCCGTCTGACCTCAGAAGCTAAGCAGGGTCGGGCCTGGTTAGTACTTGGATGGGAGACCACTTAGGAAGACCAGGTGCTATAGGCATAAAAAGTAAAAAAAATAAGGAATTGTAAGCTGACAAGGTCCTTGAAATCTGTGAGGTCAACCAAAGATTGCCTCACTTAAAAAAAAAAAAAAACTATTAAGAGAATAGACAAGCCACAGACTGGCAGGAAATCTGTGCAAAATACATTATCTGATAAAGGACTGATATCTAAAATATACAATGAACTCTTAAAACTCATGATTAAAAAAAAATTAAAAATGGGCAAAAAAGTCTACACAGGCACCAGGAAGACGGTTTAGCAGTTTCTTAAAAAACTAAACATACATTTACCATAAGATAAAGCAATCATGTTCCCTGGTATTTACCCAATGAGCTGAAAACTTATATCTACACAAAAACATGCACTTGGCTGTTTATAAGAGCTTTATTCATAATTGCTCAAACCTGGAAGCAACAAAGATGTTTGTCAACTGGTGAATGGATTAAAAAAAAAAACAACTATGTTATATCCATATAATGGAGTATTAATCAGTGATAAAAAGAAATGAGCTATCAAGCCATAAAAAGACATGGACAAACCTTAAAAGCACACTGCTAAGTGAAAGAACCCAATCTGAAAAAGTTACATAAGTCATGATTCTGGAAAAGGCAAAACCATGTAGATAATAAAAATATCAGTGGTCACCAGGGGTCTGCAGGGAGGGAGGGACAAATAAGTGGAGCACAGGGGATTTTGGGGGCAGTGAAACTAATCTGTATGAATCTGTGAAGGTGGAAACATGTCTTTATACATTTGTCAAGACTCATAAAATGTACAACTCAAACAACGAACTCTAAGATAAACCATGGACTTTTAATAATAATGTATCAATACAGCTTAATTAACATTGCTCTAAAAAAATACGTCTATTAATTATTTTTTTTAAAAAAGGCATAGCTTAAAAATAGAAAAAGAAAATAAAAACATATATCGAACATCAAGGAGGTATGCGTACAATATGTGTAAAAATGAATGAGGGTGGTGACAGGGTTTGTTTTTAGATGAAAACTGTCTTTCTTTTTTAAAATTCCATTTATGACAGAAATCATGAATAGATTCCAGGCAGAAATGACCTAAATATTATTCCCATGAAAACAAAAATAACAGCTAAAGCCTAATTATCTCCTCAACAAAGTAATTCCCAAGTTTCCAATTTCTAGAAAAGGCATCAGTTTCATTAGCTAAGCTCCAAAATTCAGACTTCTGTTTCTCTCAATCTCTCATCAAGTATCAGTAGAGAGTCTCTCAGATTTGTCCCTTCCTCTCCTAGACTCCACCAACACCTTAGTGCATAAAACACATCAACTCAAACAGAGTAAAACAGCCCCGGGGTTCTCCACCAACTATTCACAGCATGCCTCTCTACTGCGAGTTAAGTGCCTTTGTCTCACCTACCGCTGCAATCTGAAGACCCCATTCCCTCTTCTTTTCTCTCACTGGAATTTGATAAATATTTAATTAGTGCCTACTGTGTGGCATAAGCCTACTTGTTTAATTAAAATATAGCTCTTGCTATAATCCAGTAGTTTATTCCTCCATCTAACAAGGTGGTATTCATGTTTTACATGAAAAATTTCATTAAACTCAAATCTCTGCTTTCTCATCAACGAAAACCCTCTACTTTCTTCAAAGTGTATCTGAAATTCAACTTTTCCATAAAGCCTTTGTCCTTCCCTAATATCTCAGTCAGTAATCTTTTGTTTTCTTGAAATTCTAAAGTATTTATAATTAATAGGAAATAACCTAATGTTTGATCAAATATCTTCTTAAAGTGTCTGAAAATATGCACAGTATTTTTTCCAAAGCAGAAATGTGGCTTATATACCATTCACAGAATTTAGCTCAGTGCTAGGTATGGAATACACAATAACATTCATTATCCAAAGAATTTCTTTTTCACTTTTTCTAAGAATTCAAATTTCGTCAACACATAGAATTATCAGATATTATTCACAATGTAAATGAGAATATTTTAGCACTTATGTAAAACCTTAAAACACTGTTCTTCAAAGGCACAGTGGAAATCCAGTCATTCAAGTACCCCCTAGTAGTATATCTGGCAACACAAATGAAATAAATGTGTCTGTTTGTACCTACAAAAGGCTGTATACTATACATTTGTCCTTGACAGTCTAACAAAAGTTGTTGCCAAACTCTTCTCCACTAAAAGTGGAAACAGGCTCTGTGATGAGGACACTCAGGAAAATTCCTTTTCATTGAGAAGCAAGGTCAGATCACAAACTATTTTTGCACGAGCTATTTATTAAAAATTCAGTGGTGGTAAGCTTCTGAATCAAATTCTTTACCAAAGAATCAAATTCTTTACCAAAAGATACTGGCTTCATACTGAGCAAAAGATAGAACTGCCATTGAGAATCAAATTCTTTACCAAAAGATACTGGCTTCATACTGAGCAAAAGATAGAACTGCCATTGACGATCCCCACTATTAGTTATCTTACGAATCAGTAGCATCAGACTTGCATTTAAGAATGACAAACAAAACTTCAGCTAAATTAGATATATCATCAAATCAACACCAGTGTTACCTTAGTGGTATATGATTGCTAAGGAACATCTCAGCTGTGCTAATCAACTCTGCTGTGGTCTCGTGAGAAGGATCAACTATGAAAACCTGTAGAAGGAAAGGAACACATGGAATGCTTATTAAAATGTCACTAGGCTAATAAAAATGCCCTTAGTCTTTATACTTGAAGGCAATCTTTTTCCAGCCACTCTTGAACCACATAAAAGAGGAATTATACAAATAGCAGTTATCCTCCTTTTATGTTCAAAGAATGTGGTACTGAACGGATAAGTGATTTTCTCATGGTCCTATGATAGTAACATGGGAACTGTACCCAGATTGCTATTACCTATTCATTTACCTATTCATATACCTAACAAAACCTAAGTTTTATTAACACTTCCATTTTAGAAAACTTAGATTTCCAAGGAGCTCTGAATTAAGGATTCATTTAGAACTCAATTTCTAGACAATAATAGCTATCATGTATTAAGCTCTCATGTGCTTTAAAAAATATTATCTCATTTACTAAATTCATACATATGGTAAGAGAAATATTAAAATGTTGACTGGGAAGGAAAAAAGTTGGTTTCAAGAGTGAGGAAAGTATATATGACAGTTTCCCTAGCAAGTTCTGTGAAAGCTGACCTTGACACTAACTGGCCCCTATCTCTTTAGGAGCTACATACAGAAGAGAAAGAAATGAGAGGGAAAAAGAGGGCCAACTCCTCTATCTCTCTAAAGCAGTGAAATAAGGACTAAAAGTAGGAAATGACAGAAAAATATATTTAAGGGAATAAACTGAAGTATTAAATTTTAGGGATTAAAGTATTCAAGAAAAACAGTAGCAACATACTCATCTTCTGAGTTAAAAAGAGGTACATTAACACTAAAATAACAGAGTATGAATCTTTGAGGTAAAGGTAAGGAACATTTCCTTATACAATGACATCTCACAGCTCTACATTTCAGTGTATTCAAAACCCTTTCAGTTTGAATACAGTAGTGGTAGTGGTGGGGAGGAGCAGCTAGGAAAGAAGTGAATATTCAAGATATGACAAAGAGGTAGGAGAGAAGGCAAGGTGGAAAGAGTTCATGGCTAGACAATAAGGAGTTTTACTTACCATGTTATGCAAATTTTTCCTGATCTGCCGGATAACACCGGGAAAGGTGGGTCGTAGCAACTCTTGTAGACTAGATGGCCATGAATTATATCTGCTATCGACCTCCAGGTTGTTGATCCACTAGAAAAAAAATAATAACACAACATGCTGCATACACTCTAGCCATCGTTAGTGACATTTGCAGAAATAATACTTTAAATTATCTTAAGAAAAATTACATGGAAAAAGACCATTTTCAAAAATATAAAGATCAAATAGAAAAATGAGTGACTAAAACATAAGCTCTAGAAGATATTTGCAACTTACAAAAGCAATAAAGGACTAGTGTCAAGAATACATATAGAAATCTAATACATCGATAAAAAAGGCACGTAACAAATGAGAAGTAAAATTGAGTCACAAATATGACTTAAAAATTTACAGAAGAAATTCAAATGGTCAATGAACACAAGGAAAGATATGCACTAACACTAGTCATCTGAAAAATATAAACTAAAATCTCAATAAAATTTCACTCATTAAATTGAAAGAAATTTTAAAGTTTGTCAATATCCAAGAGTAGGCAAAGATACAGAGCACCTAATGCTAGTGTCTGGAACAGTCACTTTATAGAAGAAGACCTAATAAATTTGAAGATTTTATTACTTTATTACTATCCTACCACTAAGTACTGCAGTTTTAACTCTACCCCAAATAAATTCGACATGTTTGCACAAAGAGAGTGGTACAAAAAACAGCCAATATAGTACTGCTCATAACAGCAAAAAATTAGAAACAACTTAATGCCCATAAATAGAGCACTGGGTAAATAAACAGTATATAACGTTCATACAAAAAGGGCAGGAAGGGAATGTATATTACCTTGTAAACATAGAATATTATATTAGCGTGTAAACATAGAATATTTCTGGAAAGATACAGTATACCTGTTGCTTCTGGAGAGAAAAAGTGGATAGCTCGGTGATGAGATGTTAATGTGTACTCTTTTGTATGTTTTAAATTTTAAACTATGAATGTATAAAAGATTTCTTAAAAAGAAATAAAATAAAGATGATATGATAAAACTAATCTATATGTATCAACCTTGAAAAAACTGTTGAATAATAAAGGAAACTGATGTAGGATACTGATAATTTTAAAGCATACAGTAGGGACTAAAATGATGAATCAAGGGATAGGAAGAATGAACACCAACTTTGGAAGAGGGATTATCTGCAGAGAGCATAGAGGAGGAACTGGAAAAAGATAAAGAGGGCTTTGACTAAAATATTTTTCTCCCAAGAAAACAATAGATCTGACACAAAATGGTTAAATATTAACATTTAGTAAGTATGACAACAGGTCACATGGTTGTAATTAAAAAAATTTTAACAGGAGCTCCCTTCTAGTTGCTGCCCGATTCATGAATTGCTTAATAAAGCCAATTAGAGCTTCAAATTATAAATAAGTAAATAAATAAAAACATTTTTAACAAAATCAACACAACAGTATTCATCAAAACAGTAGTTACATCACCAAGTAAGGACTCAAGTAATGACTATCTATATTCTACATTTCTCTTTCAAAAATATTTCCCTAAAATAAATGCAGTACAGAAACCAAGAAAAAAGGACTAGAGGGTCAAGGGTGTGCTAGGCACACTTCTAATACTGATTTCACCTTCATCATAACTGCACAAGATAGCTCTATTCCCTCCATTCTCTTTTATAGATGAGAAGACAAAAGGTTCAGATGTCGTACAGGAGATACTAACCCATATAAATCCCCCACATATAAAATATCAAATTCCTTCTAAGGTTATTAGCTAAAAATTGATATTTTTAACAAAATCACACAAGAATTATATGCAACTGAGAAAATACAAACTAATTATTCTTTCCCAAGAGATACTCAGCTAAATCCTAGGGGGAAAGAAAAGTGGAAAAATCACTGCCTTAACCATATTAAACATAAGAACTCAACTTTTTGGAGCATTAATGAGCCTACTTTATTATATACACATAGCCCCACATAAGCAGTTGTGATAAATCTTTGATGCCAATAAAAGAGATGGCAGGAACAACTTACTTCTCATAAAAATCAAGTGTGAAACCATAACAAAATGCCTGGCCAGATGCCCATGGACCCTCTAAAAGAATACCTACTGAAATAGCAGGACTCCTGATGTCTACAGCATAGTCAGCCTCGGAGGGCTGGATGTTCAGTTTCAAAATGTTATGCAGAGAAAGGCCTTCTATTCCCAGTCTATGCAGTCCCTCCATGACCCGAGCTTCGTTCCTCAATACATCAAACAGACTAAAAAAAAAAAAAAAGTATTTAGTAGAAAAACCTTCAAAAAAAAAAATCCTTGCCATGAAAAAAAAATTATCAGTTTAAATTCAATTCTGTATCAAACTGGTTGAGAAATCCAAAAAGGGAGCTTTTCCCTTTGCTTCATCTTGTCAAATATGTAGAACAAAGCAGGTACAACTTGCTTCTTGGTTCGTCTTTATTTATACTTAACACATGCATTGTCTCTAAATATAAACATACAATTTGAGGATGAAATAATCCTAAATTTGGGTTTTACATTGCATGTTTTTAAAAACCACTACAGGAACCTGTTATTTCTTACAAATGCACATGAATCTACAATTACATCAAAATAAAGAGTTTATTAAAAAACACCAAAAAAAAAATTGATTATATACGTTTAATATATGTTTCAATATCAGTATCAATTTACACAGGCACATACATATAACCACAGAAAAAAGTCTGGAGAAACTCACACCCAAGAGAGGTTTGCTGGGACACAAAGAAGAAATAGGACAGGATGAAGACTTTACTTCTAGTCCCTCTAAAACACTCTGAAAAATTCAAGCTATATATATAGATATATTTTTTAATAAGAAATAAAAAAAATATGGGCAATCTTTTAAAGTGTACTTTACTAATTTTCAGTAGCTCTGTAAAGCAGTATGTGAACATAAAGCTCAATTAAAATAATTAATGTGAAAATATCTTACTGTAGAAACTGCTTCTTCAGAAGCATTAGCAATAGCTTTTGTTTTTACTACGAAGCCATACTGTTAACTGTGTCAATTTTAATCCCACGGGTAAAATGTGAATTCCACCTGACTGTCCACCACCCTCCTCCAAAAATTCATGAAGAAAATTTTGAGCAATTTCGTCCTGAATCACATTTTAACAAAACAAAAAAGGTAGGTATTCAAATAACATGTAAAACAGAACACCTTCTGAGACACCAGAGGCAGCATTTTGAATAAACCCACTTCACAACCTTCCCAGAAGCAAAAGAAGCTGCTCTTTTCTGCTTCCACGGTTAAAAGGAAAAACTATAACTTCTAAAAGGGCATTCTCAAAAGACACTTTGGCCTTAAATGTACATTATGATAAAAAATGGCCAAGTGTCATTCTACCCATCCCAGTCAAAACATGGGCCTACCCAAAGACACTCACTGGGCCCGGTAAGCCATCAGGCTTTGCAACATGCCACATCAAGGAGTACAATAATCTAAATGCGTCGCAAGGAGCTACACTTTATAAAAACTTTTCATAGTTTCAAATATTATCCATACCTGAATATATCCTGCGTATCTAAATCAATATGAAGTCCATTGATGAACAGTGCTGAATCTCCAGGCTGTAATCCTAAAGTTCCCTTGAAATACTAAAATATTAAAAAAAAAAAAAAATTATTAAGGAACAGGAAAAGAATGCTTAACAGAAATTTCTATGTTTCTGGCTTTATTATATGTACAAATGTTGACGTCCTCTTATGTACCATAGGAAACCCTAAGGTTGGGTTAAGATCTTTTATGTACTCCAACAGATCCTTCTTAGCATCTACTTCACTGTAATAAAATAGCTGGTTTATGTGGCATATACCTCTCCTCCCTTCTTCCTTCCATCCCTCCCCACTTCCAACAATAATTACAACTGTTTCTTATAATAGGGAGGGGGAGTCATATAAACCAAGTGCTGAGGGTCGCTTTTCATAAAAAGGGCCTTCTGTTTGCGATGCCAACCAAGGTTGTGACAGCAGTCACTAACAGCTTGGCCTTCTTGATGAAGTCCAGGGATCTAATCTAAAAGGGTTTCAAAACCTTACACTTCCCTTAAACCTTCAAAGTAAAGCACACTAAGAAACTTTGAGTGGCTATGTTAAGGATAACACCTACATGCAACCTAGCTCTCCAAGACTTAGCCTAGGAGCAGGAGTCGGGGGTGAGGGGAGGTCTTCAACTGCTGCTCCCTAAGATGGTGGCCACCCTGGTTCTCCTAGGGCTAGGGGAGGAAGGACAGGGACTGCTGAGCTCCTTTCATTCCCAGTAGTCAGTGGACTAAGAGAAATAAACTTTAAGATATAGTATTACATGGGAAAAACACAAAAGAGGAGGCCATGGCGTATGCTTCTTTGCCCTGCCGGATTAAATGGCAAGCAAAATGAGAGGATAATGAAGAGTTGCATCAATGAGAATTAGAATTTCTTACACAGGAGAGGAAAACTCCATGTCTACTCACTCCCAGGCTGCGAGCACAGCAACTTTGACTATAAGAAAGACTCTGAGCTGGTAAATATAGCTCATACCTATTTCTAGATCTGGATGTTGGTAACATAGGTGGGTTCGCCTTCTGAAAATTTATCACACTAAAATTCTGTGCATGTTTTTGTATTTGTTTTATATTTTTGTATTTTATACTTTAATAAAAGATTTTACTCAAAAAAATAAACTCAAGAAATACCAATATATAGCCTGTATAATTTAATGTTTTATCTTCCTAGTAGAGGCTAAATTAAGGTAACATTTGATATTGTTATCCTGGAAAATAAAATTAAGTAAATAAAAACCATTATAGATTTCTTCAATTTAGCAAATATTTGAGATATATTTGGTGTACTTTTTCCTCAGGTCTATTTAAGTAACTAATATATGTAAAAAATTAAGAAAATCTTGGGTATAGATAGTAAATTGAACATAAGCATTTTTTTCTCCTTTTCAAACTCTCTTAAAATGTCAGTTTTTAACAAGGGACTCTCTTAAAGTTATAAATCCACAACAAAGAAACCAGAAAAGAAAAAGGATTGTCTTCGCAATCCTGAGAAAGCTGAATTCTAGGCTGACAGTGGAAAAAGCCGACAAGAATCCAAGGAATTGGCAGCACAAAGAATGCATGTATGAGGGGGGTAATTATTATGCTAAAAAATGGAGACTCATTCTGGAAAGAATGAAACAGAGAATCTGGAACTATGGGAAATTAAGCACAACTGAGGGTGGAGATCCTACACTGAAAATAGAGGAGTGAATATAAGTTATTGAGTGTTCTTCCCTACTGGGCTTCTACATCTTTGGCAGCCAGATTTCACCCTCCAGGTAGAAGTCTAAAAGATCCTTTTTCTAGAGACTGAACAGTTCAAAGGGAAAGATTTAAACATATAGTCACTGGGGTTCCTAGGAAATGGCCATTCCAGGATAGCCTACAGTCAAAAAGGCTTATCCTTAGGGCTTTCAATCAGCTTTTGACTCCTTCATTCTTCAATATGAGCAGCTAGCCACAGATCACCAGACATCTTGGAAAGCCTCTAACATCAGAGACAAGAGACCAAGACAAAAAGAAAGGCAACTTAAGAGGAAACAGACTATGCAGAGAGAAGAAAATACACACATGTACCACTGTGTACATGTGAACACTATAAAAAGAGGAATGTAAGAAGAAAAATAACCCTAGAAAATTAAAACTTCGACAACTACAGAACAAATCTCAACAATGGGGTTAAAAATCCTTCCAGAAAGTCTAAAAATAAAAGACAAAAGAATCTGAGAAATAGCGGGGAAAAAAGATTTTTAAAAATTAGGCCATGCTAGTCAAGAAGGTGCGGAAACTTAAAAATAAATGAAGAGCTGTAGGAAAACAGAAAAGAGAAACCAGATGGAGAAAATGCAAATGAGTAATTTAAGAAAATTTCCCCAAACGAAATAAAATGATTTTCTAGATTTAAAGGGTCCACCAACGACCCAACAGTTTGGAGACTTTTTAAAATGGCATATCATTGTGAAATTTCAGATTACTAGGGTCAAAGAAAATATCCTAGGTGATTCCAGAAAGAAAAATCAATCTCATACAAAGACTTCAGACTTCTCAATGGCCACAATGAAAACCAAAATTACCAGGGGCAAGGCTTTCAAACTTCTAAATGACTTCCAATCTAAAATTCTATACCTAACCAAGTGATCAATAAAAACAGAAATGGAAAATTGATTTCGCAGAGTCTGATTTTATCTTGCATGAAACTTTTCTCATGAAGAATGATTTACTGCACCAAAATAAGTGAATAAATCAAAAACAAAGAAGACTGGAAATCTAAGAAATAGGAGGTCCAATAAATGAGGTTAAAGAAAGATCCCAGGATAACTGATATGCTCTAGATATAGAGAACACCCAATACATAGTGAGCAAATCAAAAATTGATAAAATCTCTCGGAAGCTAAGCAGGATCAGGCCTGGTTAGTACTTGGATGAGAGACCAGGTGCTATAGGCATAAAAAATAAAAAATAAGGGATTGTAAGGTGACAAGGTCCTTGCAATCTGTGAGGTCAACCAAGGGTTGCTTCGTCTTTAAAAAAAAAATTTGATAAAATCATGACATAAAAATATAGAGAAAGTAAAGTGATGGGGAAAATGCTAATATGGAGTTGTGGTACATATAGGAGAAGGGTCAGTGAAAAAAAGTTAAACTTCATACTTGTAATAGGAGGCCAAAACAGAAGGTCTGAAACTGAAAAATAAAGTACCAATTTAAGCCTCCTAGAAGTCTGGAGATAAATATCAAGAATCAGCTAAGAGTTGAAAGCAGATGTTTCTAGGAAGGGAGCCATGATAGGGAGTGAGATGTGTTAAGGGGGTGCCATTTTTCTAAATAAACTGGTGGCACCATTTGGTGCTTTGAATTATATTCATATTCGACTTTGATTAAAAACTAAAAATATAAAAAAGATTACAGAAATTAATCAAAATACCACCATCTTTGATAAAAGGAGATTAAAACTATTAATGGCACTGATTTAACTCAGATTTCTTCATTTTAAAGGTATAATACAAAACAGAAAGACCACTCTTTTCTGTTAGTTAATACCTTCTGATTCTCTTCCACTTCGGTTCTAAGTTCTGAACTCACAGCTGTTTTTGTTATTGCTCTAAGGAAATAAAAACATTATCAGTGTTTGGTTTAATATTTGATACATATTTGATAAATTTAAGTACAAAACAACAAATTGCTCAATAAACTACAAAAAAACTAAATGGAAAAAAAACCGTAAATCTTTATAATTGATAAATACATTTCTCCTTTCAGATGTGTATATTTTTTTCATTACAAGATACGATGCAGTAATGGCAGTATTTTAATACAAGTGCAGTTATTTCCAAGATCTACATTAAATACATGTAACTCTATTCCAGTATATGATCTCTACAGCCTACAGGCTAAAATAATGTTAAATAAATTAAGGTAACAGATTGCTCGTCCTATCTAAACACTTACGGTAGAGGTGGAATCATACATGTATATCTTCAATAGCATGCTGGACTAAAGGAGAATGTATTATGTGATGTATAAGTCCTATCTAATAAGTATTTTCAAGACTAATCAAATTAACAAGTTTATTTACAAAATAGCTCATAAGTCGAAATATCTCATTCAGTGACTCAAGAAAGACTGACACTATTTAAGTCATTAGTCTCTAAAAAATTGGCTTTTATAATAATTTTGCCTTGCATTTATGAGATCTGGAGGGTCATTATACAATTGAAAGCAATATCAGAAAAGCTGCATTCAAAATCTCATTCTGCCACTATAAACAAGACAGGCTCTATAATGTATTTCCTTCATCAAGATTAAATAAGATGATATATATGAAACACTTCAGGAAGAAAAACACTATCATCCATAGGAGGCCCTAGATTGGTTACATCTGCATACTTTGATTTTGTTGACTCATCCAATTCCAGAAGGCAGGTATCATTATTTCCATTTCGTTGCTGAGGAAAGTATTTATTTACAAAGTTTACAAAACTAGGAAATACAGTGCCAGGAACACAACCAAGACGGGTCTCTTCAACAACACAATGCAGAGTCCTGCCACCTCTCAGAGTGTACTATTAGCAGTGTGCTGCTGGTAGTGAGAGAACTTTTATTTTCTAAGCATTTTCATACTTTAACTGCTTCATTTTGTATATAAACATGAAGATAATTAGGCATATATTCAGAAAAATGCCTCAAAACCTTATTACTCTATATTACCTGGCTTTAGTAGGAAAATTTTGACTAAGATCCTTCATAACCACCAAAGCTAATTCAACTGGAGCGGCCAAGATTCGGGCAGCAGTCTGAAAGCTTAGATCTGCAACAATGTCAAATATAATATAAAATGTATTACTCCAATGTAATGAGAAATAGGAAAAAAACACATTTACTTCCTACTATTTTCTTGGTAATTAAGAATGCAACCATTTCAGAGTGCCCATAGTTTCATTTCTGGTTTTATTTACTTCAGAATATTTATTGTAACCATTTCTTGATCTACCTGCATGAAACACTTGGGCATATACTAACACATTTAGCACAGGATAAATCCACCTCAAATAATAGTTCTTTGGATCAGAAAAGCACACTTACATTCTATCACACTGACATGCCTCTAACACGGGGTAGATACGCTCTTTAATAAATGTATACATATAGACACATAAAGACCAAGAGAAATATGTTTCTAATATTTGTGTGACCAAATACATAATCTATATACAATCTTATGTATCTGGTCACACAAAGAAAGATATGGTACTCATTTACATATATTATTTCTACACAGTGTTGTCTGTCTACAGAAAGACTCCTCCTTTCTTTTCTGATTAATCATAATTAATCACATTATCTTTAAAAGCTGTGGTACCCTCAGAATCACATGAATAAATACAATTATACTCAAATTTTATATTTTCTAATACCACAAAATTTAGTCAAAAAGTAGACCAGTGATTCCCGTTTTTATTTTTATTACCTTGCAGTTGCCAAACTTTTAAAGGTGCCATTTCATTGGTGCTCTCCACAAGATGCTTTCTAAGTTCTTTCAACTGTTCCTTCAGGTCAGGGTGCAGGTCTCTGAAAAGAAACAGAAAATCAGTCCTTTTCATGTGTCTTTTATTTCTCAAAGCGCTCTTAAAAGTTGGCTCCAATTTCTTCTTCATGATTGCCCCTCTTATCATTAGAAAAATTCCTATAATATACAGAAAAAATTCAAATATAATTATGTTTCTTAAAAAAATAAGTTAATATAGAAATGTAAAAGTTAATTTAAAAACTATAAGATCTACAGATTAAATAATGAATCACTACAACAGTGATTCTCTATGTTGCAGGGAGGGAGAGGAATGGAACTGGGACTAGGGAACAAAGGGTACTTTAACTCTACCTATAGTGTTTTACTCACCTTCTTCCTTTCCTCCTTCTTTCTTTCTTTGTTTTTACGTAAAAGAAGGTGTATGTTGGGAGGGAAAAAACTTGATAAATAGTTCTTTGGTACATAAAAGCAATTCTGGGTGGCAAGTATCTGGGTGTGTTATTATTCATATTTTTCTATATCTTTATTATTTCTCAAAGTAAAACGGATATTTATTGCTACTGGTCTCAAAATGAATTTCTTTCAGCTACATGCTCATATATCCTTTGGCCACATGAATATAATTCAAGCTAATCAAGATTATGGATTTTGTTTAGTTTTATCTTGAAATATAGTGCAGTCTACTTAAAGCTAGAACAACAGAAGTTAACAGAAGCAGAGATACATCATTTAGATCAGACAGACAGATGGCTGGTAGAGTCATTCTGTTCTTTTAAATGCTAGAAACTCAAAATTTCTTAAATACAACATGCAGAAAGTAAAATATTTACTCAGCTCCTTCAGCGTCCAACAAATTCACTTCCAATCAGTTACTAAAAACTCTTGTTCATGATAAAAATATCAAAAAAAAAGTCCCATTACTTTAGATAGCTAAATAACTATTCTGAATATTCAAAAAGGTAAATGTCTTCAATATTCTACATACTTCCTAGTGCTGTAAATACCCGAGATCATAATACTACCCAAAAAGCAAACATAAAAAAAGTGAATATTTAAAGGAATTCTGGAAACCTGGGGCCCATAAAAAATGGAACCTGACTGCACACTAATGAGGCCAAAGCTGATGTTAAACACAAAGACAGGTACATGTGCACAGGACGAACTCAACATGTCCATGGTAATTCAGCATGAACTAAGTCATCTCTGCTAAACTGTTAGTCTGGTTAAGTCATTTCACTTGGCCAAATGTTAAAGCTGAAATATATAAAACTGGGCCTACACATATCATTTCTATATTTCTACATGATCCTTTTCTTTAAAAAAGAAAGAAGGGAGGAGGAGGAGGTAGGAAGAGGAGGAAGAAGAGGAAAAGCAGGAAGAGGAAGAGGAGAGAAGAAGAAAATCAGCGCACTACAGATGTCCTAATTAAGATTTCCAAGTTAAGCAGAATTTAGGGCTCTAAACAATTATCAAGTCTTATCAGAAATAACTGCAATAAGAAGACTTTTCAACTATAAAATCTTACGATGCTTTCATAAAATGGTTATGAAATTTTCTTCAAAAACCCCATTTTCTATCCTCTTTCATATAGATCAGATACTAAAATGTATTTCAATTGAACATGTATAAAATCTATACCTCCTGCTATACCTCTTTTGCATTTTTTTCAGACTATGTTTAGCATGAGTAAATAACTATGACCTCTCTAACTTAAAATACATTTGATTTTCTTGGGAAAAAAATTGGGTGAAACAATTAGATTTCTCCTACTACATGAATCGAAAATGGCATGTACCTTTATGCTATCAACTGCAAGGCTCAAAATAGGAAATCAATTTAAGCCATAAGCAGGCAGCCAGAGCATCATTTAAGAATATGTGCTTCAGAATGACTGGAAATCATAAACTGTACTATAAATTAAGTGGTAATGTCTTCATATCAGGTTATATATATAAAATACTGTTGTAAGATCTATAACTGATATGGTAATAAGAACAATGGTGTTTATAATTGAAGTAAGTCTGAAGGTTTAAAGAGAATAAGACCAATACCCAAAAGAACATATATACCTTAATTTTCCAAAAAGGAATCCCTGAACTTCATCAACAGGATCATTTTCACCAATCACTGTGGTGTTTACTTCAGTTCCTATAAAAGTACAGAAAATATATGTTTAATCACTCAGATTAGAAATAAAAATACTATTAACCTCATAAAGCCTGAATAATATTAAAAAAAAAAATAGGAACACCTAAAATTGTGATATCATTTAAAATGCTGACTACCTCAATTAACATTCTGCAATGGTAACAAACAGGCAGAACAAATATATTTTTAATAAATCCTATGTTCCTGGATAAAGTGAGAATATATTTTTCCCTTAAACTTCGGAGAATTATATGTGAAAATTTTCAAAATTGATACCTTTAAAATTATGAATAGATTTTTTAATATCAAAATTCTGAAGAATTCACAACCAGGCAACTTAATAATAAGTAGAATTATTGAGAACAGAATAATGAGTTACTAGGCTATCTTCCGTGTACCCAAGCCAATCATTTTTATTTTGAAAATGAGCTCAAAAGAAATTTAAAAAACTATACATAAAACTTGTGGTTGAAATAATTCAAAACTCTAGAGTATGACAACAGAAGTATAGAAAGTCAACTGTTCCAAGAGTAGAAAATAATAAAAAACATTATATCGTTCATTAATTATAGGATGTTTAAAATTTCGCACTGACTATTTATGAACTATATATTGTCAATAACAATAGCTACTGCTTATTGAACATTTGAGTGCAAAAAACTGTACTAATTTCTTTACCTATACACCTTATTTTCCCCTCACAAATACTGTAAGAGGCACATATCATTATCCGCACTTTACAGAAGAAAAATTAGGACACAGAGAACTTATTTCATGTCACCCAACTCAGATGCAACAGAACCAGGATTCAAACGTATTCCTAAATCTACTCTTTTTCATTAAGGAAACAAGTTCCTCTTTAACTCATATTTAAAGAAAATGCATCGGTCTAATTTATAAATTCACCTTTCACCTGAGTATCATCCTTGGCCTTGTACTCAGTGCTCTTAATGGCCAGTTCCACACCATAGCCAGAGAGGTAAACAGGCTCCTTCCTGGGATTCTGCAATCGGAGCAAGTATTCCACCATTACCACTGAGCTCTTTATGTATTACAGTGTACAGTCCAGTATACAGTACGTGACCATGTTGATGCATTCAAAACACGCTTAAACTTCCATGGGAATCCTAGCCTCATTTAGATTTTGTATTTGCCACGAGTATAAGAATGAGGAATCCAAAGCAGAAGCGAAACCAGAAGAAGGAACAGTTGAAAGGGCAAAGGTAACGAAACCACATGAAGAAATGGATAAAGAGAAGAAGTTCTAGAACCTACACAGCAGAGTTGAGAACTAGTGAGGTTTCAAACCTATAAGTGCTTTGTGGGGAGTATGTACGTAATTCTGTGAATGTGCATGTTTTACTGAATATAAATGTCTTCAGTCAGGGTTTAGGCTGACCAAATGTCACAGGCTTACCACCATCCTAAAGGAGGATGGCCCTTTAGACATTTTAATCTTTAATACCAGCAATAGAGCCTGGGGGGCAGAGGGAAGAACAGTTATCAAAAATTAATAATAAATCTGCTTCTGCTCCTATTTAGATTTTCATTTAAAGTTTTTATTTTACTTGCATGGACTTAGCATCCAATATTTATCGAACTTAAGACAGATTTTAAGACTAACAATCTTTACATAAAAATACAAATGCTAAATGGAACACAAGGTTTTAAAAGCTTAATTTTCAATCAATTCTGCCTGATTGTACCTCTTTAGAAATCCTTCCTTTTCCATCTAATGAAAAAATTTCAAAAAGAAAAAAGTAAAAGGTTTGGAAAGGAACCGAACTCAAGGATCAGTTCCATAGTATGATGACATTAAATCTGGACTAAATTAAATATAATTTACATGGTTTGTTTTTTAGAATAGAATGTAAACTTATTAAGCTATTTTTTAAGCATAATTATTTTACATTTCCTCAGAAAGGCAAACAAAGTACTTCCAAGTGCAAATAACAGATCTGAGTAAAGTACTACACTTCTCAAAAAATAATTCGAATAATTTTATAATTATTAGCTTATGTGTTAAGGTCATGCTGGGCATATTAATATTTAAAAGTTATAAAATAAGTCAATACTTACAGATATATAATGTCTGAATATATAATTGATTTTGCCTGCATTGCTTTTTGATATAAGCTGGCGGTGGAGATTATAAAATGCCTCATAGCCAATCTCAGAGTAGAAAATCACCACCGGACTTTCAGGATTAGATGAAGGGTATCTGTGATCGCCTTTGAATAATAAGGGTTTGGGTCTGAAAACAAATATTAAAAACTTAGAATTGTAAACTTAAAAAAGTTTTTAAACAAAATACAGGTACAGCAATGATTATTTAAGTAAAGATTATAAGCATCTTAATATTAAAAAAGTATCAAAATCTTAAATAATTTTCAGTAAGTAAGAATGCTGTCAGGTAGGTCTTATTTGTTCATTATTAAAAATAATAAAAGTATATTACATAAATATTAACTATGAAATGCAGAATTTGATAAATAATTGTTACCAACTCCTAGAGGAGGGAAAAGCCAGAAAAACAATACATATCCAGATCTCACAGTACTAAAACTTTAATAAATTATTATATCTTATAAATAGAATATAAGTATTCTTTTACCTGAAAACATAAGTGCAAAAAATGAAAAAAAAAGAGAAATACTTTAAGCATATAACTAGTCAATTATAACATCTCCCTCCTCTATCATCTTTACTACTATGATCTTCCCATTAATAAATTTAACATTTATGTTTTCCTCATAAATTTTAAAACTTACTCCACCCCAAAAAAGAATTCTCTAAGAATGGCATCTAGATATTAATTAACCCATAGACTTTCTGACCTACTAATCCCTCTTAATGAGGTATACCTATCTGTACTAAAGGAAGATAACTCTTGTAAAAACCTGTATAAATTTATAACTAAAGAAAAAAGTCTAAAAGGATACATGCCAAACCATTAAAAATAGTTATTACCTCTCAGAAGAGGCTATACTATCTCTTTTCTTTACAAAGTTTGCATCATTGTTGTAAAAAAATTAAACAAAGAATTTTAAATTAACTAATTTTGTTTTTCCCAAAGGATCACCACTTCATCGTGCAGCCACCTCAGCCCTGAGATGGCTAGAATGCACCCTAAGTAGCACTCATGCCATTTGGTGGGCAGAGGACAAGTGCTGGGCAGATAATTTCACCAAAGAAGAACTACGCTTGCCTAAAACACCCTTAACATTTCTGATACAACACAGCAACACCACAGAGAGAGAGCATTGTTATCCTATTTCTAAGACCACTACAGAGGGTGCAAAGGGCACTGCCCTTGCCAGACAACAAGAGATGCTACCATATTTGTCCACTACAGGAAACTAGTCTTTAAGCAAAAAGCCAGCCTATTAATTTACTATTCAAATGAAGCTTGCAATTATCCTTTAAATAGTCCACTTTGTCTGAAACTAATAATCTCCTGAGATCATTATCATTAATGTCATTATGTCAGGCACTGGCTTTAATAAGCAGAGTATTCTTTACTAAGCTGATGACAAAGTCTATATGATTTCTAAGATAGTCATTACTAAATAATAACAGTAATATCAAGGACTCTTATTATCTCCATTTTAAAGTGAGATGAGAAAAGAAAGGTTAAGTAATTTGCATAAGTTCACAAAACATTTTAAGTGATGGAGGTAGAATTCAAATCTAGTCAGCCTGGTTCCAGAATCCATACTCTAGACCACTATATCTACAGACGACAAAACTGATAATTTTTTTTTTTTTTTTTAAATCAGAAGGTAGACTTGACAGAGAAGAAAACACAATGAATGCATGACATTTATAAAGAGAAACACACAATCTACCTTTCAGGTGCTGTTAGTAGAAGAGTATCAAGGGTATCAAAATCACAAGTCTTCTTTCCATGCACTGAAAAAAATGAATTACATCCTTCTGGTGGAGGTTCATCAGCTGCTATCTGTCATTTAAGACACAGGACTTTTAAAAAATAATTTCTAACCAAAGACAAGATAAAGACATGAATATTTAAATAGATCATAAAATGATACTAAAACAACATTAATAAAAGCAAAAATTAACATCTACTGAACACCCATTATGAGACAGAAAAGTAGAGCTTTACATGTCACTGCTTTCCTTGTATTATTTCATCTAGTTCCTCCCAATAACAGCGCATGAGGAAGATGTTATTATTATCTCCAAAACAGAACTTTAAAAATTCTATTTCAAAAAATATCAAAAGATATATAAGGTATACAGTATATACCTTGCAGAAAACTAAGCTTACAAATGTCAACTTTAAGTGCTTAAGTACAAGGATGCAGTCACAATTAAGTATAATATGCAAATTAATCTGAAGCCCCTTGCTGAAATAATAATAATATAGTATCTAAAAAAACAACAGTCTAAAAAAAAAGAGTATAGAGGGAAAAGTAAAATTATCTAATGAGCACAGTAAGATATTCGAGGGAAGGGCTGAACGAAATGTAAGTTTATGTTTAGAGTAAAATGCATTAATGCCAATGTATAATAAGACAAGTCAACCCACAACTTTAATGAGAGGCACACTGAGAAGAGCCAGTATGAAAAGATGAGAAAAGGAAAGGAAACAATGACAAGCACTAGTATATGCACTGATGTCATTTATGTAATATATTAAGATGTCCTCTTCTATAGATGGAACACAAAAAAATAAGAAAAGAAAGGGAGAAATGGAAAACTTTTTTGCTAGAAAACTGATGTTAAATTTTTCATTATGTTCTTTATTTTTCTCTAAATTATTATAAACCTTACAAATACAAGAAAAGAACAAAGAATAGTATATATATATTTAAAAAAAAAAAAAAAAAAACCCATGTACCCATGACCTAGCTTCAATAATTATCAACTCATGGCCAACCTTATTTCATCTACTTTTCCATCACACTCCACTGAACCATTTTGACACAAATCCTAAATAACAGTTCAGGTTATTTCATTTGTAATTTCAGCAGATATAATTAAGACATAATTTCAATATATCTTAATAAAAGAGTTTAAAAAATAATACCATTATCATACTTTTAAAAAGTAATAAAATTCTGCATAGACGGTAACTGACAGCATATTTTTCGATCTTTCTAAGTTCCCCACAAAAACAGAGCAACTAGACTGCAAAAAGCAAGGAAGGAAATCCCCACACAGAACACAAACAAGATCCATAGTTATCAGAATGCCATGGAGAAATACATTGAGAAAAACAAGAGATTCTGATGACCCTGAGAGCAGAAAAACCCCAAATGGCCAACAGGTTTCACTGGAAAGTATGATGGCCCAATGGGTTTTGTTTAATCTCACTTCAGGTGAGCACAAGGGTGTATGGCAGAGTTCAAAGGAGTTGGGACAGTTTAGCCACTCTGAACTCTCAAACTCACAATCTAAGAATTCCCTTTTAGAACAGGGTGGCTGAACTACCCTAACTCTCAGGGGCTTGTGAGTTTGAGAGTTCAGAGTGGCCTAACTCTAGAGTGGTTGAAGCCTCACTCGAAGGAAAATTGCCGAGGGTAGAATAAAACTTGTGTAGGAGACAGAGATATAGAGACAATGAAAGAGAAAGTCCAAATAAAAGTGCAGGAGGGGAACAGAGTCAGAAAATTTCATAAAGCAAGCCACCATTTTTTTTAAGCCATTACTTTTCCAAAGCTATTTTAAGGAAAGGGGTAGGGGAAAAACAGACTAGCACCCTTATTCTTATAGATGAGCACTATAAAGAGAAATTGCTGCAATAATAGAAATTTTCTACATCTGCGCTATCCAATATAGTAGCTACCTGAATGTGCCTAAGGCGGCTGAAGATCTAAATTTTTAATTTCATTTAATTGATTAAATTAAATTGGCCACACATCTGAACAGCATAGGTATAGTCAATAAAACCATGTCAGAAATACATAGCCAGAAAACAGATAAAAATGTAACCTACTATTTCAAGCAAGTAAAAATACATTAAGAGAATTATATAAGATGTAAAGAATAACCTAAGTCAGAATTAGAGAAACACAGGAATGAGGTGACAGACTCAAGGAAAAATTATAAGTAAAAGAAAAATTGTTTTAGAAATGAAGTCTAAACTGGAATGAGCACAAGAACAAACATAATAAGCAATGATTAAGAGAAACAAGATGAAAGGAGGAAAAAATTTTAAATCAAAAAGAAATAAAGAAAAGAGAGATTCAAGAGAAAGTGACAAATAATTATGATAGGTAAAGAAAATTCAACGTATAGATGATATGAAATCCAAAGCAAGGGAAGAGAACATTTATAAGTTTTTAAGAGAACCTGAAATAAAGAATGATTTGAAACTCTATATTAAAAGAATATACTGTATACCTGAAAATAATGACCCAGAACAACCACTGTTAAGCATTATTCTAGTAAACTAGCAAGGGAGCAATCAAGGACTACTGGGGTGGCAACAAAAGAACTGAGTAGAAGACTCACACTTTCTGATTTCCCAAATCAATACAAAGCTACAGCAATCAAAACTGTGGTACTGACATAAGTACAACATGTAAACCAAGAGAACGGAATAGATAGCCTAGAAATAAACTGTCACATATACAGTCAATTGATTTTCAAATGGGTACCCAAAACCATTCAATGGAGAAAGAATAGTCTTTCAAAAATGGTGTGGGGAAAACTGGTTATCTACATGTAAAAGAATGACGTTGGACTCTTACTCTATACCATAGTCAAAAATTAATTCAAAATGGATCAAAGACCTAAATTTCAAGAGCTAATACTGTAACTACAAAATCCTTAGAAAAAAATGTAGGGGGAAAGCTTCATGACGTTGGATTTGGTGATGATTACTTGGGTAAGACACCAAAAGCACAGGAAACAAAAAATAAATTGGACTTTATCACAGTTAAAAACTTCTGTGTATAAATGGACACTATCAACAGAGTGAAAAGGCACTCCACGAGATGGGAGAAAATTTTGGAAAGTATATATCTGGTAAGTGCTTAATATCTAAAGTATATAAAGAACTCCTACAGCTAAACAACAACAACAACAAAAAAGAGTCCAGTTTAACAATGGGTAAAGGTCTCATATAGACATATTTCCAAAGTAAATATTCAGATGGCCAATAAGCACATGAAACGATACTCCACATCATTTGTCATTAGGAAAATGAAAAACCAAAACCACGAGATACCACTTCCCACCCATTATTATAGCTATTATTTAAAAAAACAGAAAATAACAAGTGTTGGCAAGAATGTAGAGAAAGTGGAATCCTGGTACAGCTGCTATGGAAAACAGTTTGGCAGTTACTCAATATGTTAAACATTGAATTACCATATGATCCAATAATTACACTGCCATGTACATATCAAAAAGATCTGATAGCAGGAATTCAACCAGACACTTTTACACCGATATATCATAGCAGCATTATTCACAATAATGAAAAGGCAAAAACAACCCAAAAGTCCATCAACAGATGAATGGATAAATAGAATGTGTTACAAGTATCCAATGGACTATTATTCAGCCATAAAAAGAAATAAAATTCTGATACATACTACAACAACATCAAGCTATATGAAATAAGCCAGACACAAAAGGATAAACACTGCATGATTCCACTTACATGAAGTATCTAGAATGGGCAAATTTATAGAGATAAAAAATAGAATGGTGGTTGCCAGTAGTTGAGGGAGAAGAGGGGAGTTTCAGTTTTGCAAGATGAAAGGAGTTCTGAAAAAGGATGGTCGTGATGAGTGCACAACAATATGAATGTACTAAACATCACTGAATTGTACACCTAAAAATGGAGAGATGATAAATTCTATTTTATGAATATTTTACCACAATAAAAACAAAGTTGAAAAATACTAAATGGTCAAAAAAAGGATGCTAATAAATCAAACTCATTCAAACCCTGAAAAGTAAAAGGAAAAAAATCAAACATATATTCTGCTTATCCTGTGTGAATGGTACCACAAAATAGTACCACATGAGGAATGTGCCTCTTTATACCCATCTTCCAAGAACAAATAAAACAGAAACAAGAGAATCAGAGCATTACTTTATAATCCCCAAGAATGAATGGATTAAGCATAGAGCAGTAATGCCTGCTAAATCAAAAAGAGAAGAAATCAGACATTACAGGCCTCCTAATGGCAGCAACACTACCTACTGAGTTGCCAAAGGGATAAAACACAACTATGATCAAGCCCCTGGATCCAGCTGCCAATTTGCAAGGAATAGAAGACAGAGGAATAAACTGAACTGCATTATGAGTATGTGATCAACAAAATGCAGATTGTGAAAAAATTTACAGGGTAAATAGTCGAAGTTACTCAACAGAAAAGAAAGGAATGGAAAAAGAACCTATACATTAAAAGACTCCCACACACACACAAAAAAAATTTCAAAAATTTTTTAAATGGGCAAGACTAAACTCTATTTAGTATTTAGAGTGTGGAGATGCACTCTTGGGCAATAAAATGAAAAACAAAGCAAATGATTGCAACAAAAATCAAGAAAGTGGTTCCTTTAGGAAGGTTAAAGTCAACTGCAATGTGGGGACAGAGTACATGAAGGCCTTGCATGGTGGCTACCTAAGTTCTAGTTCTTGGCCTGGGTGAAAAACACTAGAAAGTCCACTTTACCATAAATCGTTATACTGTATATTTCTTGTGAGTAGTTTTCTATACCTCTTTTATATTTAAAAAATGGTTTTAAATTAACATATATATCTTTTACATCAAATACATAATCAGTACACACATCTTTGTTTCTCTCACTGCCTTTTTTTTTTACAATAGGAGTTTGTTCAACTCAAAAAATCCAACAGAATCAAAAAATAAATCAAATACATAATCAGTACACACATCTTTGTTTCTCTCACTGCCTTTTTTTTTTACAATAGGAGTTTGTTCAACTCAAAAATCCAACAAGATCCACAAATTACATTAAGTTGACACACTTTTAAAGTCTCTTGAAGTTCTTCCTTCCCTATTTATTTTAAAACTTATATGTTAAAAAAATCAAATCATTTTACCACAAAGTTTCCTGCATTTTGATTTTCCTGACTGTATCCCTGTGATATTGCTTCACATTTCCCACCTTCTGTATTTCTTGTGAACTGCTTTGAGATCTATAAGCTGTGATCGGATTCAGGGTCAATTGGTTTAGCAAGACTACACCTCCTAGACTATGTTGTATGAATGAATTCTGGTAGTCTCTTCTTTACGTGCATATTCTTATTTTTTTATTTCTTAAATAAAAATAAGTGCAATTATTTATTTTTAAATCTGTAGTTTGAAGATTTAACATCGACTTTGCTTGTTATTTATAAACAAATCATAAATCCTAAAAATTTTCAGGCAGAAAAGTTAGAGCTCTGTAATACAATGCCAGGACAACTGAAATATATTCAGTCATCATGTTATACAACCCCTAAAAAATACTGATATGTGTAGGCACTGAACTCACCTGCTGGAAGGCTTGAATTGTAGCCGAGTAGGAATGAAGAGACAGACAAAATTTCAACAAATTCTGCTGTAGAGGTGACAGAAACTGAAACGCAGCTTCTAATATTGCACGGTAATAAGAATAATCAGTACCTGTCAAGGAAGAACATTAACCAACATTATATATGACCAGAGCTATCCAAATAAGATCATTTACAAAGTATAAAAACATGTTACAAAGGCATACAATTACAAAATTTTACCACTGCACTGTCTTGAATTGCTGTCAAATGCTTAGAATTCCCTGGAGCACACAGTGGAACTGGACTTTTCCTCTTCTTCCCTGGTTGACTCTTCCCTCCCCTGAATTGCTATTTTCCCTCTAACCTGGGATAGCTAATTTCTATCTACTTACTGAGGAAGAATTTGGCTGTGAGATCACCTGCTCCAGGGAGGCAGTCCCAAGCCCTATCCATGCCTCACTGGACCAAGTACATCTTTTCTTTGCTCCCACAATATTTGCTTACCCCTTTCACTTATCACATCATTTACTAAATTATTTATTCACTGTCTACCCCACCCCAAATAGTCTTGGAGCCCCCACAGGAAGAACCTCTGACTTATTTTTGTAGCCCCAATGCATAGCAGATGTTATCTACTCAAATAACCTAACAAAATTGAGCAGTGTGATGAGGTTTACAAGGGATTAAAGGATACCAATGGAATTGTAGTTTGGGGCGAAGCATTTAAACAATTGGCAAAATTATTTGAGGGATAAAAACACATGTACCAATATGAAAAAAACTCCCCAGGACATGTTGTTATGTGAAAAGCACAAGGTACAAAACAATGTATATAGTAAGCTATCATTTTTTATTATAAGAAAGAATGAGAAATAAGAATACATTGGTATTTGTTGTAAAAAAAAAAAAAAAAAAACCACTTAAGGCTACACAAATTAATTTAAATGATTATAAAAAGTAGGGGAGAAACAGAGAAAGGAACAGAGACAGGGAGGCAATAAGATTTTTCTGAGTAAGTATAGCCTTTTATATAGTTTTGACTTTTAAATCATGTATTTTCTATTCAAAAAATATTTTTTAAAAAATTAACATTTTAAAAAGCAAAATATAAAAGGTTCTATTCTGCATTAGCACCTTCTAAGTAAAAACCAAGATCAGAAAGAAATACCTCAAAATGTTGCCAGAATGTTAATGGTAAATATCTTTGGATGGTGGGACTAAAACAGCATTTCATATAAAATGTTTAATATACTTTTATGATCACTTCCAAGAATTCATATTCTCCTAATTCTATCTAACCAAGAACATATTATCATTTATACTGAAGAAATTCATTTCAAATGTCAGAGTTCAAATTCATTACAAATCAACTTTAATAAATTTGTTTTACAAAATCATAAACTAAAAGAAAAATAATTTTTTTGATAACTCAAACAATTCTAGTTGATTCTATATAACTAAAATTTACAGATGCTTGTTCAAAACCTTTATGTACTTATATTACAAAAAAAAGTTCAGGCTTAACTTTCTAAATATATATTATTTTAATAAAAATCAAAGTTAAAAATCAATTCAGTTCAATATTAACAGTAGTCACATAATTTTCACACATTTCCTCGTCAATAAGGACTTATGCCCGTCAACCTAATATGAAAGTTTTAGGTGCTCATATATCAGCATCTTTGACAGTAATGTTTATACTCTACATAGCTTAAATTGAATTAGAAAATATTTATGAAAGCACATCATAAACTGTAAACATTGACAAAATATACATTGTAATTAATTGTGGGTGGCTGGCAAGCATAATGGAAAACATTTTGGATGGCACTAACTTAATGATAACAAACTTAATAGGTAATAGATCAGTTACATAATCAGTTCATTAAAAAAAGAGTGATTCAATTCTGATGGTTATTAACTTAGTACTAAATGATTTTAAATGAATTCGACTCCTACAAAATATGCACACACTTTTGATAAAAGAACACACAAAAGGAAAAAACAAAGGAGAAAAATGCTAAAAGTAGTACTTACAATCTCAAAAAAAATTATTAGTCTATGTTGGCTCTGCTGGCTATCGCCACAACTCTAGACATTCAGATAAAAATGTTTCCCATTGACTACCATGCCACAATTTCATTGAAAGAGACCCTTTTTTTCCAGTATTTTCCCAGACACCAAAGTCAAAAAAGCATTTGCTTCAATTTTACCGTGATAATCTGATGATCCAATATTTCGACTGGTTTCTACAAAATTCCAAAACTTCTCTTGACTATCTTCTGCCAAAAACTCACTGGGAGAAAAGGGGAAAATATCAGAAATAAAACAACTTAATAAAAATCTAATATAAGCTCTATAAGAGAATAAAACTGGTTTTTAAGTTTCTAAATGTTCATAGTTTGACTCTTAATTTATAACATAACAACGCAAATATGCATGATATATTTTTTAATGATAAGCAAGTCTTACTAGCTTATTAGTTATTAATAACTAATTAGCTTAGTAGCTTATTGAGTATTCCTTAAAATACACAGAATAATAAAAATGTAACAACAGAGAAGTCCCAATATAAAGAAGGCTTATAAAACCCCATTTGTGAAACTGCCATCAGTAGTAGAAGCAGAATTAGAAATTGATAATTCTAGCACTAGTTCTTCTCACTTATTTCTGAAAGACCTTATAAAGAACAAAAAATATTTGGCTAAGCATCTCCCAAGGAAAACATGAATCCTAAAAAATTTTCTAGGAGACTAAAGGCAACATGTTGTAAGATGATCAAGTTTTAATTTAACATTAACAGTGACCTAATAAAATCAGGTCTTAATGCCATCTTAGTTTTTTTCTTGAATTTACACTACTGACCTAAAATAGTGGCTATACTAAATTTCTCTTCATTCAAGAGTCATTTATCCCTAAAAGAAAATGCATATCCTAACTGAATGATTCACATAAACTGGTTCTCTTCTCCTCCCAGCCATACTACTAATGTAGTGGTGATTTTTCACTGTCTTTAAGTGAACTACAGACCTGGATCTCAGCTTATCTAGCCAAAGGAAGACTTTCCCATTACTGATCAACAGTGAAGTATACAACTCTCACTCTACTCCATAGCTAGACACAGAAATATGAGGAAAATAAGGAACATTTCTTTTTTTAAAAAAATGCCTACAGCACCTGGTATTCCAAGGTGGTCTCCCATCCAAGGAACATTTCTTGGTAATGCATAGCTTCTCTAAAAATACATTTCTGAAAACACCCGTTATCATAATGTATTAAATTATTTGGAGCCTCTTTGAGTGTAGTATTTTTCTAGGCTTTCTAGAAAAACAGACTTCATCCCAACCTTATAATATAGTCTAAGAAGGCAGGTTTTGAAGCAGATAGTAATATGCAAATTGTAATATGCAAATAAACACTAAATTCACAAATTAAAGCTTCATTCATACCACTGCATAAGTAAGTCTTATAATGTCTAAATTTCAAAGTCTTATGAAAATTACTAGATCCACTGAATTAATCCAGGGACTGTAAGAACATAAGATACTATTCAAAAGAACACTGACATTTCTTTACAGTACACTCAACTTTGTCTGCTTTTTGATATCAATTGTTTTTTAGCTTCTTATACCTATTCCATTGAGTAAAAAAAAAAAAAAAAAAAAACTATAGTTTTACAGCTCAAACTATATAATCTCTGGAGTTTGTTTTAAAATATTCCAGCGGAGGAAAATAGGAAAGTGATAGTGGTTATGGTTATTGGACTTGAGTTGATCATTGTAAAAATGGGGTGACAGGTACAGGGAAAGAACATCGTATCATTCCCTCCACTTAAAAATATTTTGAAATGTCACTAATAAAAGTTTTTAATCTTTGGCAAAAGAAAAAAAAAGCTCGAAACAACCTGAATGTCCATCAGACAGCATAACTCTGGTAGTAAACTTGTTTTCTTACATTTCCAAAGTTCTCATAAGAGATCAGAACTGGTCTCCCCTCTATACAGAACTAGAAGCGAAAAAGAAATGAGTCTACTATGTGACAAACACTATGCTCGGCATAGTCACCCATATCCCCAAAACTTCATAGCAACCCTGAGTTATAACCAGTTTTAGAATAAAGAAACAGCAATGCAGAAAGGTTAACTTGCTTAAAGTCACAGAGTTAATAAATGAAAAATCTGGAATATAAACTCCAATTTATTTGATTTATAGCTCTATCATGCTGCATTCTTGGGCCATTATAATATTCAGCACTCAATAAATAATTACCAGTTTTGTTTTTAATAACAGTACTTTATTTACACAACATTTGTTAGCAACTATAGCTGTTAAAAATATATCCATAGTTTTACTTCACTTAAATATATATCGCTTTAGAGAGGCGGAAAAAATGGCATACATGATAGAGGCTTTGTTCATCCCTCCTGTGACCACATCAAAGTTGTGACAGAAACATGGAGCAAAGAGCAAGCAGAGCCACCTGAGGTCTAGATGTACAGAAGCCCTACAACTACAAAGAGAAATAATCATCTTGCAACGGTTGGAGGTAGGAAGGGGCGAAGATGCGAGGCTGCTCGCTCTCTAGCAGCTGAGGGGGACAGAGGCCAGACGTCTGTCTGCCTGTGTGTGTGTATGTGTCCGTCTGTCTCTCTCTCTATATTTAATTTTAGGCGAGGCAACCCTTGGTTGACCTCACAGATTGCAAGAACCTTGTCAGCTTACAATCCCTTATTTTTTATCTTTTACGCCTACAGCATCTGGTCTTTCTGGGTGGTCTCCGATCCAAGTATTAACCAGGTCCGACCCTGCTTAGCTTCCAAGCAGACATTTCTTAAAGGGGTCACATCTGCAAGGGGACTTTCAAGGTGACAGACCTGCTCACTCTGAGCACCAGTGCTGGTTCGGCTGTGTGGAGGGCACGAGGGGACTTACAGGGAAACACTGAGTTGTAGGAGCAAGGGCTGGGGATGAGGCTCTCTCCGGGCAGAAGTGCCAGCGGTATCCACTGTTCCTCTGTTGAGCCCTCCTCCCTCCCAGTGTGTGGAGGCAGCGCCACCATAGCCCTGAGGTCATCAAACAAGATAACAGAGGTCACTCCGCCCAGAGGATTCCCTGAAACCCCACCTCCCCCAACTCTCAGCCCCATACAAGCCACATCCAGGTGTTTCCTCAAAGAGTCTAATGCTTCTTTTTGAGCCAACTCCAAGACTCACACTGGTGGCAGCTGACCTCGGTTTCTGGCGAGGCCTCTTGAAGCAACTATAAGCACAGCATCTGCGGATTGTTTGCTGAATCTTAACAGGTGGCCCTGCAGGGGCACAGGTTGGGGCTAAACTTGGCCTGCAGGTGAAACTCTCTCAGGACTGTGCTGTTGGACACCTACTCACAAAGCCGTGCTAATAAGACCGGGAGACTTAGGAGCTTTGCTTAGTACATAGAAACAGACACAGAAAGGCAGCCAAAATAGGACAACAAAGAAGCTGAAACCACACGAGAGAACAAAACAGAGAACCAGGAATAATGGAGTCTAGCAATCTAACAGATGCGGAGTTCAAAACACTAGTTATAAAGATGCTCGATCTACATTTAGGGGAAGTGAAGATGAACTCAGTAAAACTCTAACAAAGAGATTTAAAAAAAAACCATAAAAATGGAAATTATAAAAGAGAACCAGTTGGAAATGAAGAACACATTATTTGAGATGAAGAGTATATTAAAGGGAATGAACAATCTACGGCCATGCTACCCTGAACAAGCCCGATCTTATCTTGGAAGCTAAGTAGGGTCGGGCCTGGTTAGTACTTGGATGTGAGACCACCTAGGAAGACCAAGTGCTGTAGGCGTAAAAAAATAAAAAAATAAGGGATTGTAAGCTGACAAGGTTCTTGCAATCTGTGAGGTCAACCAAGGGTTGCCTCACCTAAAAAAAAAAAAAAGGAATCAACAGAGTGGATGAAGAAGAGGATTGAACCACTAATATAGAGGATGGGGAAGCCAAGGACACTCAATCAGGATGGCAAGACTTTAATAATAATTTAAGGAGCCTATGGGACACAATTAAAGGTAAAAATATCCATGTCATAGGGGTACCAGAAGGAAAACAAGAAGTTGAAGAGCTACTTAAAGAAATAATGATGAGAAACTTCCCTCACCTGGTGAAGGAATTAGACATACCACCCCAAGAAGCTCAGGGAATCCCAAGAAAGATGAACCCAAAGAGGCCCACACAAAGACATATCATAATTAAAATGCCAAAGGTTAATAAATACAAAGGGAGAATCTTAAAAGCAGCAAGAGAAAAGCAGTTAGTTACCTACAAGGGAGCATCCATAAAACTGGCAGCTGATTTCTAAAGAGAAACTATGCAGGACAGAAGGACTTGGCACAAAATATTCGACGTGATGAAAGTCAAGGATCTACAACTAAGAATACTTTAACCAGCAAAGCCATCATTTAAGTCAAAGAACAAATAAAGAGCTTCCCAGACAAAAGTAAGCTAAAGGAATTTATCAACACCAAGTCAGTATTATAGGAAATGTTGGAGGGACTTCCTTAAGAAGAAAAAACATGTATCAAAAACAGGAATAAAAAATGGTAATAACCACATTCCTATCATCAAGTACTTCAAATGGAAAAGAACTAAGTGCTCCAACCAAAAGACAGAGTGGTTGAATGGATAAGAAAACAAGACCCCTACATATGCCGCCTACCAGAGTCTCACTTCAGATTAAAAGACACACACTGAAAGAAAGGGGATGGAAAAAGATATTGCCTTGATGAACCTCGAGGGTACTATGCTAAATAAGTCAGATAGAGAAAGGTGAATATTGCACGCTTTCATGTACATGTGGAACCTAAAGAACAAAATAAACAACGCACACACACACACACACACACACACACACACACACACATCGCTTCATGGATAACTCCAAAGCTACAACTTCATTAGCGTCAGGCCCAATCTTAAATAGCTTCAGTCCCTAAAGTCTAGGTGCAAGGAAAGGAAAAGGTATGTTGTAGCTGCATGCCTCAATGTTAGGAGAGTCTGTCCCTTCACCTTCACCCACATGAACAGTGCTCCAACCCACCATTAATGCTTGCCATGAACCTAGGAGGAAAGAATGATGATCTCAGCTAGCTCTAGAGGTGAATATGTAGTGGTTTCAAGAAAGCACAGTTCATTTTTGAGTTGCCTATATGTCCAGTTTATCTTGGCAAAACATCTGCAAATCGCTACAGAAGAGGACTAAAAAGAGTGAACCAAAATCGCAAATGGCCAGGATATCATGTAAAGGGGAGATGTCTGTGATGGGCAAGTTGGTGAAGTATCCTTCACAGACATCAAATAAACTAAAAAAAATTGACAAATTAAGGCTGACAATTGTAGTGTACTTTTTCAAAAGTCCATAGTTATATTCGTAAGAATCTTCTAAGACAATGTACAAAAACCAAGAAATTAGTGTGAGAGTAATGGAATGTAACTCTGTTAAGAATGTTAAGCAGAATATCATAAAACATTTATTAGAGTTAACTGTTCCAAAATATTTAGAACATGACAGTAAATCTCAATGACCTATATTTACATCAGACAAATCATCAAAAATATTAGCAAAAAAAAAAAAAAGGAAAAGAAAGGAAAGGGAAAAAAACAAGTTATTAGAGTTCTGGCTCAGGCAGACTAGGATCTCAAGACCTTCAGTCACTTCATTTTTACACCTATCCTACATCTAATAAAGTCCTAACATTCGATGAGCTCACTCTATTTATCAAATTAGTTATTGCAACATCACTATAAAGTACATGCAGTGGTTGTTATTATTATTATTATTAGTGTGTGTGTGTGTGTGTGTGTGTGTGTGTGTGTATTTTGCCATTTTATTGCTGAGAAAAGGGAGACACAGAGAAGCGACAGAAGAAAGTCTGTGGGGCTCCTCCACAAGTCAAGATCAGCTCCTAAGTGGCTCACTTGCCCACTTGTCCTTTCATTTTCCTTAGGAGATGCAACTATTGATATATACAAGCAACATAACAAAACTCTTCATTCACATTTTTCTAGGGATTAAGGAGAAAATGTTAGAAGATGAAACTCTACACTGAAGACCACAAAGTTAACTGAAGTAAGGCAACAGTTCAAATTTCTAGCACTATCAAATTCTGAGACTTACCAAGCACTTGCCATTCAACCTCCCTAATTTAAGCTTTAGAAAGATTCTCTGCAAGTTCTAGCTATAAATTATTAGTTTCATCTAAAAACATTAAAAAACTGACTAAAAGACAGGTATTTGGTTATATTTACATTATAAATATAATAAGTACACGTGGAATACAAAATTTCCCCAAAAAAATCATTGATTATATTGTATTTTATTGATTTTAAGACACTCTAGATTTTAAGACTTATCATTGTTTTAAGAAACATTAAGAATGAAAGATGTTACCAATTCTAATTGTAAGATAATTTAATTAGAACACATTCTGATTTTTTAGAGATGTTAAAATGTAGAACATGAACATCTTAGAACAGATGAAAATCTGGCCATTTCCACAGTTTTCCCCTGTACTCTCTTATCTTGGGGTCTTCTTCCAAGTTCTCAGGAGGAACATGCGCTCTTTACCCCACCTTGCCAAGCTCTCTTCTCTTCCTTTTAAATAAATAGAAAATTTCCTTTAAGTACAACTTCTTTTCCCTTATTACCACATTTATACTTTTCCTGGAAGGTAGCATAATAATTTAACCAATCAGTATATCTGTCTAAAGAAGTCCCTAAGTATCACTATGAATCAATACAGTCCTATCCTACTAATAGATTCTGTGTACAACAGCAAAGTGCAGGCTGAAAGAGGCTCATACTAAATGCATTTAATGATGATAATCTCCATTCCTAAAAAGCTCCTGAATATTCACTAGTAAAGCCTACATTCTTGCTCAAACGTGTGAAAGGAAAAACTGTCTTCTTACCTTGCTTCTAACAACAATGGAGTAGAAAACCATTTTGTTGTAAGAGAAGTTGTAATGGCTTTTGAATCTGCCTTTACTGAGGAAAACAGCCACAGTCCAGTGAATACAATCAGAAGTCCCATTTTACAGCAAACCCCTAAAAAAGGAAAAGAAAGTTTTGCTACAAAAAAATGTTTAAACATGTATCTTAATACTTAGAGATACCAAATAACATATTATAGAAATAGAAATGCTTCCGAAATATAACAGTACCTAACATCTAGATAGTTCAACACATTTGCTGAGTGACGGACACATAACTAAAGGTATACAGTTCATTACATACAGTCTTTCCTACAAAGGCTCCAGTTCATTTCCTGGGCATCTATAATATACGGAGGTATAAGAGTCAGTTGGTGGCACAGCTGGTTGTATACAACCATACTTTATGAAGCAGCAGAGTAAATAAAACTGAGACAGATGAAAACATAAATGGTAAGTGTTGCATATTGAATTGTGTCCCCCAAAAAGATGTTGAAGTCCTTACCCCCAGGACCTCAGAATATGAACTTGTTTGGAAATAGGGTCTTTACAGAGGTAGTCAACTTAAAATAAGGTCATGAGGGTGGGCTCCAATCCAATATGACTGGTGTTAAAAAAAAAAGGGGGGGGGGGGGGATTTGAGCACAGAGTCAGGAAGGCACAGAGGGAAGACTATATGAAAAGACAGAATGCCAGGCAAAGATGGAGGCAGACATTAGAATTATATTGCAAGCCAAGGAATGCCTGGTGCTACCAGAAGCTAGAAGAGGTCAGGAAAGATCCTCTCCTACAGACTTCAATGTGAACATAGTCCTGTGACACTTTCACTTAGAACTTCTAGCCTCTTAAATTGTAAGACAATGTAAACTGTTGTTCTAAGCTACCTGGTTTGTGGTACTTTGTTTTGGGAGCCCTATAAATATGATGGGTCTAGAAAGTAAACTCAAAGATGGGTTCTGGAATGAGGAAATGTTAAGAACTCAGTGGGTATCATCTACAAAATAAAGATGCTGGGGTCACTGGTAAATTGGCAGGGTCACAGAATGCAGGCCTCCTGAACTCTCAGCAGCAGCCTCACCAAGCACACTGAGGTCCTCCGTGTACATATCATATCAGAAAAACGTGTCCAGCTTCAGACTTCTTTGATTTTTCATCCCAGAAGTCTGTCTACCAGAACCAGAACCCTAATCAGATATCCCTCTGGGCTATATAAAAGTCAACCTCCTAGTTCCACCTATTTGAATGGGAATCCACAGGGGATGTGAATATGTGGGAAACGCTAAACCAAACTCGTGCTTCTTAACATTAACAACCAGACAGGCTCACCCCAATTCCTCAATACTGGAGATAAAATCTATTGTTGGAGGAGACAGTCCAAATTGTGAAGAACCAGTCAGTATTTTCTTTTTATAAAAAGCATTATCATTTATGCCAACATCCTGTTCACGTAACACACAGTATCTCTAAAGGACAATGATCAAAAGCAAAATATATTACACCAAATAGAAAAGTTGCTTTTAGATGAGTTTTAAGCTCAAGCTCTGCCAGCTTCTTTGGAAACAAAAAAATTAATATGAACATCCCATTTATAAATAAGTATTTTTAAAAATCAACAGTTGTAAAGACCAGAGCTAACCAAACTAGACTTTTGACAATGAAATCTGCTAGCAGTAATTCCTGACTTAGGGATCATGGGTGGGAGATTGCTGGGAGGTGGACGGGTGCACAGTGGATGATGTAGCTCCCTTTTGGAATCTAGCAGAAATTATTGACATGTCCTAGATGTGCCAGCCAGAACCTAAACTTTTACATACAATTTCAGACCACCCAAGAACTCTCTTAGAACCATTTATAGATGCCCTCCCTTATAGGTCCATGGACTACACTCTGAGAAACCTTCCTGCATAATAGAATAAACAGTTGTCAAAAAGAGAAAACCTCTTAGAGTTGACCTGTGATCAATTCCTGAGTTTGCTACTTACCAGCAGTGTAACCATGTTACCTAATAACTTCTCTGGCCATTAGTCTCTAGACTCTAAAATAGGAATAACAGTATCTGCCATACCTGGCCACTATGAAAATGAAAAGGCAACGTGAAAATACCAACTACTATACCAAAATTAACTTCTAGCAAAATGTATCATAAGGGAAAGAAACTAAAATCTATCTTCTAAGCTATAGATTAATACATCATCGCTATTACATGGCCTCAAAATTTTGCCTTGGAAACCTACCCTCTATGGCTAGGAAAATAAAATAAAATTTAAAAAATCCTCCCCAAAGTCAATAAGTTTCTAAACTGGAGAGACTATATGAACTATACTGAAGCAGTATTACACTATGGTTACATTTATGATTTTTCCTGAAGAGCCCTAGATGCGTAATCTTCCAAAAGTGGGGATTCTGGGTGATAAAACTGGGTACTACCGCACAGTGGAATTACAGGGAACTGAGTGACGACAGGCCCCTGAGGAAACATTAGCATTCAGTGAGCAATTACTCTGGGCAGATCACTGTGTCAGGTGCTTTGTATACAACTGTTACCCAGCCCTTCCACACCAAAAACTGCAATTCCTTAAGGGTGGGTGGCAGACAGGTCTCCTTTGTTCACCACAGCAAACAGCAGTACCAGTCAGTCGATACTCCATGAATATGCTGCATAATGGATGAAACGCTATTATTCCCGTTTAAAAATAAGAAAATGGAAGCTCAAAGAGGCTGAGTAACTTCACTGACTAATCTGTAGCAATGCTTGGAGCCCACATCTGCCTGCTTTTAAAAATTCTACAATATCATACTACCTCCCTTGATTCCCTGGCTTTACGAGGGGTAAGAATTCAAACTGTGCAAAGCCAGATTAAACAAAGAGCTTTCTTGTGAGAACTAAGGCAAGTCTAAAGATTTTCTAGGGAACAGAATCTTTGGGACACAGGTGACTGAGAGAAGAAAAATTTCAACACAAAACCAAGAGGTGCAGGTCTGAAGTTGGAACCAAAGCAAACCATCCAACTACCCTGAAAAAATCCATAATTAAGCTAGCCTTGAACACTGAGTGTGAGCTAAAGAGTAGAGGGTTTTGTCTGTCATCGTCACATACCTAGCTTAATGCCTGGAACACAGGAGGTTCTCAAAATAAACAAATAGAAGCTTCATTCATTAAGGGATAAGTGAAAGAAAAAGGAAAGAAAGGAGTGTGGCACTAAGAGCAATAAGAGCAAAGAGACTACAAAAAGCCTACAACTTAAGAAGGCTAAAATGAAAACTATACACTGTGACTCACCAGAGATACTCTTCCACGTTTTTGTTTGTTTGTTTGTTTGTTTGTTTTAAGAACAACAGACAGAGTTCTTGGGGCATGGTATAGCACCTTCAGAGATGAGCTTTACATTAAAGAAGAGCTTTCCCACCCTGACCTCACTTCCTTGATTCCACAGGTATTACCAGGGGAAAAGGCTATCCAGAGAAGCAAAAGTAAGAACATCACTGAAGTGGCCTTTCGTTTGCAGATGCCTTCATTTTACAAGATCCCTTATCACTCTGACCCTAGTGGTCTTTAAATGTTGCTTATACAGATGAATAGTTGGAGAAATAATAGCTGTCAGAATCTGCAATGTGGCATTTGAATGATCATAGACATAATGCTTACGCATGATGAAAAAATAAAAAACACTCCTTCAAAATTTCTAAGCCCAAATGTTATCATCTGGTAAGATCTAGTCTGTGGCCCATTTTCCATAGTTTAAATTAAAGAGCCTATCTCTTGCTCATTAATCTACAGTAAAACGTTGAAAATATTAAAAAAATTATAATATGGAAAATGCTTTACACTTTTTGGAAAACAAAAGAGGCATAAAATTCTAAATCATCACCAATTTTTCTTCTTCCATTTGTAAACTGAAGATAACAGCAAACAAACTCTTAAAAAACAACTTGCACCAGTTTATAGAAAACCATTTGAGTTTCAACATATAGAATAATAGTGAGGAAAAATATTAGGAAGTACCCTTCTTGTGAAATAAATTTACTACTCAAATAATTAAACTTAACATACATTTATACCTTTCACAAAACTATTTGCTGTGAACCACATAAATCAAACATTTTCATGTTTGATACATCAAAGAACAAAGTAATCAAAGAACATACATCAAACATGAAAATGATCGCAGGGCACTGCAGAAAAAAATCTAAGACAATTTTCTCTACAGTTCAATTTATTCCCCTCAAGTTAATTGTGTATTGTAAAGGTGCCATGCTACTGTACAAAGCAATGTTCATTTCCTTTAATAAAAATGAGTTTCAGCTAAGTTTATCAACAAGCCAAAGAGAAAGACAACATAACTTTGTTGTGTTCTTAAATAGCTACTTAAAGTGTATTCAAACCCAAGCTAAAATTGGCTGGCAAGTGCATGATGAATGTTTCCAAAATAGTTAATGAAGCACGGTAAGGCATAAGACCCTAGAACTTCAAATGAACAAAATATGCTAGTTCTCAAACCTGGCAAGAAATGCAAAACAATCTAGAGATTCTGTCAAAGGAACGAGAACAGTTCACATTCATAACTTATTTGCGATGTAGACAAATATTATTTGGCAGGTCCCATACTAAAAGTGAAACCGGATCGTCCAATTTCCAGACAACAGACCCTCTTAAATGAAAAACGGCAGCCAATATGCACTAACCGAACTCATTTTAGGGAAAACAGAAATCTATAAAAAGATCAAGTCGTTCTCCAGAGTCCTGCAAATTGCTGGTTCTCAACCTACTTAAGGTCAGGCTTAGTCTAAATTCATGTTAGGGCACTTGGTCACATGGGTCTCAAAGCTCTTCAATAAAGGCTCAGAATAAAGGCTGGAGAGCTCGCGGCCAACCTCGCAGAAACGATACTTTGCACAGAAGACCAATGAGAGACAACACTGACCACTCGCAAAAGGGCTGGGGCACAGGAGGGGAAATTGAGCCGGGAAAATTGCGCCAAGGAATAAGCGGAAGCTCAGGTAATCAGGGTACAGGGTCGCCTCGCGCCCCGGACCCTCTTCCCATCCACGAGACCACCCCACGCCACCCCAGGGGTACCTGTCACCTGCCGTGCAGCGCGACACGCGCGCGGCTTGCGTCCCCGTTCCTGCCCAAGCCGGGGCCACGCAGGGTCCGCGACGGCGCTTGCGACAACGCAGGGAGGGGGTTGGGGGCGGGAGGCCGGCGACGGTGGAGGCTGCGCCAGTGAGCGGCCGACACGCGCCTTCCCACAGCTCAGTTCACAAGCCGGCCTCGCGGAGCAATAGCCCAGCTGCTAACCGCCCTTTACTTCCGCTTCCCATTGGCAAGGCCGGAGGACTTCCGACCACCGAGTCTCGGCCGAGGCAGCCCAGAGCGCCACGGCAAGGGCGGCGCCATCTTACATCCGAGGGTGCTCCGCCTTTCCGCTTCCTCCTGCCGGTTCCGCGTGAGGGGGCGGTGGGGAGGTCTGTGCTGCAGGTGGGAAAGTGCGTGCGGGACGGACAACAGAGACCGGACGCTTTACCAAATGGTGAAGCCAAACAGAGGTTTCACCCTTCTTTCTGATTTGGTCCCTGGGGCGTTTCAGAGTCTGCGTTCTTAAACCCTTCTGTTAAAAGCACTGCTGCACAATAAAGGACAATGTTTCTAGCATCCTAGACTTTATTTGGAACCATAAACTTTAGCAGCTTCTGTTCCAGGGAGCATAAGTTAAAGACTTTAAATTTTATGAGGAAATTTGCTTATTTATACCAGCAGTGGCAATTTAATCTGCAGGATTACTTTGTTCTTTGAAGTATTTGTTTACTGGCAAATATAAATCACTATGTAAAATTGTTTTAGAATATGTGACTCTGGACAGACTGTGCTATCTACCCAGAATGAATATGTCATTAGAGTGAAAGCGAACTAAAAACTTTTTAACTATTAAGTAAAAGTGTACTAAAAGACAAAAATACGTTAAAAATTACATTAAAAGTATAAAATTTTGACTGACTTTTGATTATATGACACAAATAGTTCATCCCCTGAGAATGCCAGAACAAGGAGTGAAAGCACTTTCTTTAACCTAATAGCTAGCTATACGTCTGTACTGTGCTTAAGAACTTCAGAGCTGACTGTTGGATTCTCTGTTCCTTGCTAGAATAAATGGAGTTAAAATAATTTTAAGGAATGAAAATAAGTGTTTTAAAATTCATTTATCGAATGAACACTTGTAATAGTAGCCTTCTGTTGTGCATTGTCTACCATTCTTTAAGGCAATGCTTCCACAAAAAGGGGTTAGGGAGGGTGGGGAGGTGTTTGTTTTACCTCTGTCTGCTCCATGATCCATGAACACCACTGTTGATCATGAGCAAAAATGTACCTGTTGGAAGGACTCCTTAATTGGGCCCAAAATCATAACCAAAGTCCAGCAGCATTACTAATACAGGCCTGTCACACACACTGCATTGCAGCGAAAAAGCCACAGACTCGGGCTGCCAAGCCTCCTGCACTGTGCTCCTGCCTTCTGAACTGACCCTTATAAAGGAGTTGCTGGAATCCGATTTTGACCAATAGACTGAGACCTTCCCCATCCACTCTGGACTGTGTAGCTACATTCTCATTTGCATCTTTACTGACCAATCAGTGTGGCTCCACAACAACCAGTCAGAAGAAGTGGAGCCTACCAATTAGGACAGTGCTATCTGAGTCAAATTGTTTGGATTTGGAGTCCTCCTTTGCATGGAAATGGACTAATCAAGGACAGGAGCAGGAACTTCTCCCTCTATAAGTCGGCCTCCTCTTTGTCTCAGTGGCTGCTTTCTCCTGCATGTTAGCTGTAACCCTGGAGCTGCAACATTTGAGCTGCTTCACTGGAATAAAGGCTCTCTTCACCAAATCCTAGGTTGGAGACTACTGGTGGCACTGAATTGGCGGCAGAGACCTTTAATTAATGCTACCAACGTTTTCTTAGTTATAACGTAAAACTAAGTGCAGAGCTCCCAAGAAAGTTAGGTTTCTCTTTTTCTAAACCTGTCTTAGAAAATTCAGTGCTATTGAAGAGGAGCTTTTGATCTTTTGATTCAAAGCTAATCAGCTTTTTGTTCTGTTTCTGTAATATGCTTGCTGCAAAGGCTCACTTGCCCTTTGCTCCACAAATGTAACTGTACCCCGTAACAGCTCCTGCACTTTGTAACACTTGCAACTGCCGGTAACCCATAGCAACTCCCGGTAACCCATAGCAACTCCTCAACATAATGTTACCAATGTTACTACTTGCAACCATAGCATAGCAACTCCCACCATTTGTAATGGTCTGAGTTCAAATCAACCAATCAGCTTGTGTTAAATGCCTGTATATAAGGAATGTTGCAACTGAACTTGGGGTCCAGATCTTCAGAGCACTAGCTCCTCAGGGGCCGTGCGTAATAAACCTGAGTTCTCTAACTCTCCGAGTTACTGCTTAGTTTTTTGCTGGTCTGATTTTGGAGCTTTACCGCAACATCTTTGGAGGCCCCAGCAAGATTCCAACCATGCCAGCCCCTTGAGCCGCCAGAACAGTGGCTCGGCCAGATTGCGGCAGAGGGGATCTGAGACGACTGAGGCGTGCCACCTCAGTATTCCAGGTTCTCTTTTGGATCAGTGCCCCAACTCCCAAGTTGGCAGAGCCCACCAACCGGACTCATAGGAGGGACGGACCAACTCACCAGAAATGACCACAAGAAAAGGTACCAAGGTAAGATCGATCCCAGGATCAGCCCCCATTCAGGTCCCATCTGTCGGAAGAGGAGCTCGATCGCCTCCTAGTCTTCAGTAAAAAGACATTAGTTAGTGTCTTCCCTCTGTGGGGAAGACATCAAAGTCTCCAAAAGCAAGGGCTGAGACACCAGAGTCTCCCCACTGAGGAAGGTGTCAGGTTAGGGCCAGAGGCCTTCCATAAAGGGGAGAGGCACTATTTTAGCCTGATGTATGAATGAGTGAATGAATGAGAGCCTTGGCCAGCTTGATTAGTCAGGTACAAGTTTATAGCTCCATGCTTGGCACCCTTAAGGTCTCCTGAAGTCCACGGAGATCGTGTGCGTTCATTCTGCATTTCCATGTTGAATGGCATATGGTCCAGGGCGGCATCAGACTAGTATCCAATCGTAAGTCACAAAGCTGAGTCCACTATGTCCAAGCGTCACCTAAACTCCTTCAGGATATGGCCAGATGTCCATCTGAATGGTCTCCTCTGTGGAGGGGGCCCCCACCCTTGTTTATCTTTGCATCCCCATCACAGTGGTGGAATGGATTTGGTCAACACTAAGTAAAGTGGAGAGTACCATCACCCTCTGGAGAGCAACCAAGCACCCTCCACTAGTTAGGAGGAGTGACTGCATGATCTCCAGTGGATAGGTTAAGGAATGGTGGTGGGAGGTTGTACAAAAGAGAGTAGTGAATGATTGAGATGTGGTCTTGCCACAAATTGAGAGTTGAGCCCCAATCCGTGGTACCATGGCGAACCTCATATGGCTTACGGTGGCCTCACGGGATCTCCATGAGGAGTCTACTCCAGTGATCCGGGTCGGGGGCTTATACCAACCCACCAATGCTAAGAAGCACCTGAAATCTCCATGAGGGGAGCAGCCAGAGATGGGCGAAGTGAGTGGCGTCCCCTCCACATTTTCCCTGATCCTATCCCCCAACCCTCCATGTGATTGTTGTCTGTCATGGGAGGTACAGGAGGTACTCCTGAGATAGATAGAGATAGATAGATAGATGATAGATAGATAGATAGATAGATAGATAGATAGATAGATAGATAGATAGATAGATATGAAAGGAAAGTGTTTTTGGTAACAGAAGGTATAAGGTCTGGAGACTTATTTTGAAGGAAATTGAAGGAAAGGTGTTTGTCTCAGAGATGGTTATTGCTGAAAGAGTGAAAAGAAGCAAACTGAGAGAATAAAGAAAATGTGAAAGAAGGTTGGTGAAGGGAAATTCTGAGAGGAAATTCTATGTGCTAAAAGTAAGAGGAATTCAAAAACTAGAATTGTGTTTTAGACTAATGTTATGAAAAGGTTTTCTGAGTAGAAAACAAGGATTCTGTATTTCATCAAAATAATTTCAGTGTTTTATGATGCCTTAACCAGCTAAAGCTCCTTCTGGGGCTTTAGAAAATATACTAACACTGGCCTGTGCACCCAGTTTTCAAAGGAAGGTCCCTGCATATATGGGGGGAGGTTCTGCTAAGCCAACTGTCTTAGATTGTATGTTGGAAAATTTTAAGGAAGATTTCTCAGGGAAATAAGGGGTCAAGCTGACCTCAGGAAAGCTTCGTACTCTTTGTGAGTTTAAATGGCCCGCCTTCAGGGTAAATTGGCCTCTAGAAGGGACTCTCGACCTCCCCACAGTGAGGGCAGTATAGTGGGTAGTGAAGGGGATCCCTGGATATTCAGACCAGTTTTCGTACATAGACACATGGCTGCATACTGCTACTGGGTCCAGTTTCGTGCTCCCTTGGGTCCAGTTTAGTGCGAATAGGCAGGGAGAGAGTAAGGTACTTGTGGCCCAACCAACTCAAGAAAAGAACAAGAAGGTGCCAGCAAAATTAATCCACCAAGGGGTCCCTGAGGAAGAGCTTATTTTCTTCTCACCACCATACATCTCAGCAGCACCGTCAGTCTCCGCACAGCCACTGTGCCCACAATTGCTGACAAACCTCCACCATCAGTGTCTTCGCCACTCCAACCTACCCCAGAGTCCCGGCCCAGCACCATGCCCTGTGTCAGGTTCAAGTTCAACTCCTCAAATCACTCTGCCTGCTATATGGAGTCATTGTCTCACGAGGAGGTGCAGACTCAGCTCCAGGGCCAGCTCCATGGCATGTTCGTAGTCCACGACTCTTCCACCTGCCCCAAGGACTATCTACTGTCCGTGTCCGAGAATGCACTAGTCTCCTACTACATCATCAAGATGGAATTTGACCATTTGTCGGTCCTGCTAGAGTTTTACAAGACTCACCCACCACCTGAACACCACCACCTGAACACCACCACCCTGATGGAGCCCGTGCCCAGGTATCTAAGTGCATCGAAATATGCATGGACTCTCTATGATTTTCCTGGAAATGATGCTGAAGACCTGCCTTTTAAGAAGGGTGATATCCTAGTAATAATCAAGAAGCCAGAAGAACAGCAGTGAAGTGCCCAGAACAAGGATGGCTGGGTCGGAATAATTCCCCTCGCTTTTGTTAAAAAGGTGGTAAGATCCTCACCACATGGAAAACATGAAAAATCCAAATTAAAGGTAAAGACTGGGGCTAGGAAGCCAACAACAAAAACGACAAAGATTCTCTAAAGGCCAGAGGAGTTGCCCACAAAATTCTATGAGAGACTATGTGAGGCATTCCAGGCGTATACCCCTTTTGACTCCGAAGCACAAGCTTCAAAATTAGAGGGCTTTGCTGGGATGAACAACACCCAGTTACTAGAAGTTGCAAACAAAATGGTTGTAAGCTGCGGTCAAAAGACCCAATTGGGGAACCCAGGTCCAGCACAACAGACTGCTGTTCCCTCATGGAAGGGAGAAATCAAAAGGAAACCCCTACTTTGTGACAACCAATGCGCCAACTGCAAAGAGGCTAGCCATTGGAAAAATGAGTGCCCTCGTCGTAGGAGAACACCTGAAAGGCCAAAGAATTTAAGAAACCTGCCTGAGCCAGTCATCCAAGAGCTCACCAGCCAGGCCAAGGAACAATCAGAGTAGAAACAGTCGGGCCCCCTGATCCTAGCCATGGCCACTATTTTCTTTGAACAAAGACAGATTTAATATTTTAAACTTTTTTATTTTGAAATAATTACAGAATCACAAGATGTTACAGAGATAGTGCAGAGTTCCCATGTACCCTTCGATGGGTTCTCCCAGTGACTACTCAACTTTAGTACAATATCAAAATCAGAATACTGACATTGGTGCAATGTGTGTCTAGTTCTGTCATTTTATCACATGTGTAAATTTGTGTAACCACCACCACAATCAAGATGCAGAACTATTCTAGCACCACAAAAGTTTCCCGTTGGGTTAGGAGGAAGAAAGGACAAATAAGTGGAGCACAGAGGATTTGGGGGGCTGTGAGACTACTCTGTATGATATTCTAGTGGTGGATATGTTATTCATTTGTCAAATCCATAGAACCTACAACACCAGGAGTGAATCTTAATGTAAACTATAGACTTTGGATGATAATTTAGGTTCATTGATTATAACAAATGTACCACTCTAATGCTGGGGTGTTGATAGTAAGGGAGGATATGCGGGGCAGGATGTCTAAGAACTCTGTACTATTGCTCATTTTACTGTAAATCTAAAACTGCGCTAAAAAATAAAGTATAGATACAGTTTTAGGATATGGAACACTTCATGAATTTGTGTCATCCTTGGGCAGAGGACATACTAATCTCTGTATCATTCCAATTTTTAGTATGTATTCTGCCAAAGTGAGCACTAAAAACATTTAAAAGAGGGAGATCATAAATGTTAAAGATGGAAGAAGTATAAAAGATAAACAAATCCTCCATCCTCAATGAAAAATGAAGAAAAATGAGACTCGGACTTTAAAAATAATTAATATACTTTATTTTTAGTACAGTTTTAATTTTTACAGAATAATTGAAAAGATAGTACATACAGTACCAGCTACCCATCCGACCCCAACACCCGACACTCAACACCCAATATAGTTTCTCCTATTACTAATATCTTGCATCAATGTGGTACATTAGAGTTATATCCATATAATGAAGTATTTGAAATAATTTTCAAATGGCATAATTTCCAAACCACATATCTGCCAAAGAACTTGTACCTAAAATATATAAAAGACTATCAAAACTCAATATTGTAGAAATAATATTATTATGTTATTGTTAACTAAAGTCCATAGTTTACATCAGGGTTCACTCTTACTATCGCACAGTTTTACAGAGTTTCACAAGTGTATAAAAACATGTAAACCCCAGTGTTTCATTTAGTCACCTCTCTGGTAACCACTGACCTTTTCACCATCTGCTATAGACTGAATTTTATGTTCCTCCCCAAGATGCATATGTTGACTTCTAATCCCCAATGCAATGATATTTGTAGGTGGGGTCTTTAGGAGGTTGTGAGGGTGGAGCTTTATGAACAGGATTAGGGCCCTTATAAAAGAGACCCTAGAGAGTTCCATGGCCCTCCTACCATGTAAGAACACAATGAAGACAGCCAGCTGACTATGAAGCAGGAAGTGGGCACTCAGCGGACACTAAATGTCTCAGAGCCTTGATTTTGGACCTTCCAGCCTCCAGAATTATGATAAGTAAATTTCTGTTGTTCATAAGCCACCCAGACTCTGCTATTCTTTATAGCAGCCTGAATGGACTATGATACCATTTCTATAGTTTTACCTTCTCCGAAATGTCATCTAGTTGGAATCATACAGTATGTAGCCTGCAGATAGGCTTGTTTCCTCAAGCATATTCACTTAAGTTTCCTTCATATTTTTTTGTACTGTGTGCACTCATTTCTCTTTATTGCTGAATAATATTCCATTATATGGATCTACCACAGTTTATTCTTTTATGTTTGTAATTATTTTTTCATTGTGCTTGCTCTGTTTCTCTTTTTAATCTTTCCCTCTTTTTATTCCATCTCTAGTTTCAATTGAACATTTTATATGATTCCATTTTATATCCTCTCTTAGCACATGAAGTAAATTTCTTTTTTTATTTTAGTAGAGTCCCTGGAGTATGTAACATACATTTACAGCTAGTCCATATTCACTTTCAAATAGCACCATACTGCTTCAGGGTAGTACTGCTATCTTTCAACAGAATATTCCCAATTCCTCCCTTCTGTCCATTACTGCATCGCTGCCATTCATTTTACTCCTCATATGCTATAATCAACCAATGCATGGTTGCTGTTATGACTTTGGAGAACATTATTTATTAAATCATATAGCAATAGAAAAAATAAATATTTTATTTTACCTTCATTTTTTTTCTGATGCTTTTCTTTTCTTTCTATAGATCCAAGCTTCTGAACTATATCATTTTCCCATTCTCTAAAGAACTTCTTTGAACATTTCTTGCAAGGCAGGACTACTATAGCCATATTCTCTCAGTGTTTGTTTGTCTGAAAAAGTCTTTATTTCTTATTCACTTTTGAAAGATAACTTCACAGGATACATAATTCTATGTCACTGATTTTCTTTCAAGGCTTCAATTATTTTCTTCCATTCTATTCCTGCCTGCATAATTTGTGAAAAGAAGTCTGATATAATTAGTATCATTGTT